GTGATCAGAACTGAGCTGAAATATATTGCACCCCTTAAATAAGATTACCTAAAAAAAAAAAGTCCAGAATTATTCTAGAAATATTTTAAGATATCACACTTTTAGACCACTTAAAAATAGCTTTTGTATTGCGTTACATCTTCTTAGAAGTTTAAATCTAGAAGTGATAAATAACATAAATAACACAGGTCGACAAAATCAAGACTTTTTCTTGGCCCAAGAATAAACGCTACAAAACCTAAAAGAATTTTAGCTGTAGATTACTACCTCATACTTGGAAACTTTCCATCACGTCGAAGTTTTGGAAATCCGTGGGCAAAGTTCCAAATTTTCGATTTTAGGCACTTTTGCGGCTTAATAGTAAGAAAACCTTTCGTAGCCAGAGCCACAATTTAGCGGAAGTGGTACCTTGAACCTTTAACTTCAAGAGTGTCCAATCACAAGTTGGGCGACCTCTATTTCTTTAGCTACAATGGATTTTACAGAACTACTTTTGTCACTTTTTCATCTATAGTAGCCTGATATTTTCCTTGTTGAACTGAGACCCGTACACATTCAATACATTAAAAATATCAGGCTACTATAGATGAAAAAAGTGACAAAAGTACTTCAGTAAAATCCATTGTAGCTAAAGAAGTGGGTCGCCCAACTTTGTGATTGGCAATCTTGAAGTTAAAGGTTCAAGTACCTTTTCCGCTAAATTGTGGCTCTGGGCTACGAAATGTTTTCTTACTATTAAGTCGCTAAAAGTGCCTAAAAATCGAAAATTTGGACTTTGACCACGGATTCTCAAACTTCGACGTGTGGAAGTTTTCAAGTATGGGTGTTCTACGCTAAAATCCTTTCAGGATTGGTAGCTTTTATTTTGGGCTTTTTTGTCGACCAGTGTAATCAAAATGTATTCTGTTAAGACCACCTTTACCAGTAAAAAAAATAGTTGGAAATCCAACCAATTTAATCTTCGTTTTTGCGAGTGTGCATCCCTTTATTTGCCCCTTGTCTTGGCTGTCTAACTGAATGCGTGTCTGTCCGCCGGCTTCCTGTTCGCTCGCTGGCAACCTCAAGCGCTCTTCACCTCTTCACCGCCGCACAAAAAGCCAAGCACATGGGCCAAACAACCGAACAAAAGCGCAACAACGGAGGCAGCCCGAACATGACCCTCGAAACGAAACGAACGACAACAAACTTGGGCCTGGATGGCAACGAACTAATGTGGCATAGATTTTTAGCATAAACAGCGAGGAGCGTTTATGGCAGAAGCCCAAGGAGAGGCACTCGACTGAAGACCTCAAAAGGAAGCGAGGACCAAGATGGAGGAGCAGCCCTCGCATTCAATTGCAAAACCGCAGCTCGAAAACACTCACACACACAGAGCACACCCACATCGACACTTTACACATGTCCTTTTGCAGATTTGATGGCGAAACGAAGATGAGAGACTTGTCCTGCGGCCTGGCTTATGTATTTAGTTACATTTGCCAAATGAAATATTCATACATTCGTGTGCATTTACTCGGAAGTCGTGTACTTTCGCCCGAAACCGTGACTAAAAAGGCGGACATTTCTGCGTAGTCTCCGCCTTACCATATATGTGAGCATTATCTCTCACCCCTCGCTTGGCATTTACAATTTGCTTACATTTCACAATTTTCAACTTTTCTAGTACAATATCCACCGTTTCGCATCCCAGCCTTCAACCAGTCACCCTTTTCTCAATGTGTGCTAACATGTTTGTGTGTACTTGGGTTCCATTTTAGTTAAAAGTTTTTCCACTCAGTTTGCTGGCCAAACAAATGCGTTCTGCAGTTGATGCTGACTGTTTTTAAGGAAAAGCGGATTAATACCCTACACATTTTTAAAAATATTCTCAAAAATAAAAAATTTATTTACCAATTTAGAAAGTATAATTGAACCGTTATCAAATATAGAAAATGATAAAAGGTCTAAATAAATAAAAATAAATACAAATAAAAACAATAAATAAAAATTAATACATTTAATTGAATTTTTATTAAACCCTATTTATTTATTTCTTTTAGTAGCAACTTTTTTTTCAAATAATAGATTTAATTACCATTCAAATTCCGTTGAAACCCAAAACCACCACTATACCCTGCACCAAATTCACCGCAAAAAGGGGGACCAGAATGAATAGGCCATTTAAATAATAACAATTCCGCATGGACGACCGCAACAGGGCATTAACTAATATCACTGGCAGTTTATAGTGTCCGACGGCAGTTCTAGGAAAAGGTCGAAAACGCAAAAGGGTTGGCCTCAGCTATTCGGGGTTTTAAAACTTTAATGTCAGCAAAATGGAAATGAAAATGAAAATGATTTCATTAGATTAGCAACGCATTCATGGCACATTTGAACGAAATGACCGATTCATAAAAAAGTCTCGAATTGTATCCATGTTTTCAAACGTCGATGGGATCAATACTTTCAGTGGGAACGGGCAGCTGGGAGTGGATTTGACAGCTTAACTTATTTATTTATTTCCATAAAACTCATTTCGATTCCAGCTATGTCATGCACTCAAACCTTCGTAACTCGGCTATAAGCCAGGTGAAGAACTTTAACTCGATGGCCCGACTGATTGCATTGAAAACCGATAAATGCTGTTAGTTTTAATTGAATTCGGTTGGGGAAACGGGTTGAGTGGCAAGCCAATCCCGAAATTGTTATTCAATTGAATTTGGCAAGATCAACAAGAACACGAAACTCAGGGCAACAACAAGAATTAATCGGGCCTGTGTAATAAATTGTAATTTATGTTAAATTCATTTAAATGCAAGAGTTAAACAAAAACCGGCAGCCCACGGAATCCAGAATTAAATCGAATTATGTTAATTAAATGCGACATGCACAAAATGAGAAATCATCGTCGTCATCATCATCATCATCATCAGCAGGCAGCCAAGTTGAAGTTGTTGGCCAACTGGTTGACTTATTTATGCCGCACGATTACGCCAACCGCCAGAAAGCATCCAGCCACTTTTATTTCATTTTATTTTATTTTATTTTCCTTCCGAGTTTCCCTGCTTTTCGGCGACCTCTTTGTAGTGGAGGGCTAACCGTTCTGGCCTTTTGTCGACCACTCGACACACTTTTAATCCTAATTAATCCTTTTCTGCGAAAAGTTCAGCCCAAATGACTAGCAGTCGGGGCAAAGGACAGTGAAAAACTTTAGCGGCAGCGAAATCGTCGACATCACCACCTCGACTTGTCGCAAATTAACTCAATGAGCGACGACTCTTGTTCCAGCGGCAATTGTTGTGGAATAATTTAATTATGCCGACGCTGCTCGGTCACTGGTTTCCCGAAAGGACTCTTTGCCGTGTGTGGGCGTGTCTTAAAACCCGGCTAACCATTTGCCAGCTGCAGAGCTGCGTGGGTCCTCGAAAGTCGGGCTAAGTAATTGAGTCTCCGTCCGAACGCGTGAGAGTGTGTTGGCTTCAAAGCGCACAGTTTCCAAGATTAACCAAAGTCTCAGTTTAATTAAAACCTGTTATTTCAACAACTTAAAATCCCAGGCTTAGACGTTTTGTGGAATTATTTGGGCATTTTAAAACGGAATATCAAAATACTTTATAGTAGTTTTGACAGGTGAAATCTATGGCTATCAAACGAGTTTTGAATTAACTGAATGACTTCCTGTACGCTCAATTGCTTCGGTGACCTGTAAATGCACTGTTCAGTCATTTATCCCAAAACCAATTAAGATTCGCAATCAATAGATTTGAGATATGATGTTCAAAATAACTGTAAAACTCGATACGTATTCCGATGCTAATTAAATTTCTGGTATCTAGCCGAGCACAAATCAAACATTTGGATGCATGCCATGACCCATTTCAGATAATGTCGAGTGGCGCACGCGGGGTATGCGTAATCTATGTTATTAAAATTACTTGTAATTGCCTTCCGGCCATAACGAGTTCTAGCGACTGGCACTGGCACTTCTGCGACCGACCGCATGAAAGTATAATTACGTGGCAAGTTCAGGCGCCACGTGGCCAGGCTGGTTTATTATTATATAATCGATAGCGAAGTCGGGAGCAAAGCAAAGTCGAAAGCTTTTAATTGGGAATTCGCATTTGTAAACAATTCGGGTTTGGCCCACAACCAGTGATGTGAAAACAACACGGTCAACTTTTGGCACCGCAAATGCCAGAACAAAAATATCAACCAAAATAAAAGTGTTGGTCTAAAAATAGAGCAAATAAACGTTGGCAAAACTAAAAGGCAAGGACCGAACAATAGAAGAAAAAACAAAGGCTAAAACCTACAAAGAGCGGTAACAGGATATACGAGAGCAGCGAGAAAAAGAGGGAAAAGTAGGGGAAAAAAATGGAATCGCAGGACATGTGGGACAGTCAAATTTATGCGTTGGTAGGGACAGCGACACAACCTCAGACAATAATTTTCGCCATGGGAGCCGGCAAAAAGCGTACTTGGCTAACACACACACACCCCTTATCTCAGCAGCACTCGTGTGTTATTTCCGGCAAAAAGCCACAGCGACCAAGGAATTGGAAAGAGGAAACCATGTAAACGTGGCCAAAACTTTGCGAAAAATATCGCCGAGTGGCGGCTGAATCGCGACTCAAAATGGCTAAGACGGATAAGCGCCGCACAAAACGGCTAACGGTGAAGTTTTCCCCCCAATTTCGTTCTATAAAGGTTGTTTTTCCTCTTTGCCACTGTGGTTTCTTCCTCCAAATGGCAGCTAAAAGTCCGACGACAGCTGCAGCGGAACCGGCTGCCCAGCCTTCACGAAAAAAGTAAAAGAAAAAGCGATTGGGGGCGTGCCTGTGTCATCCGTCTTCGATAGTGTGTCTTTTGCAACGATTCCCAGCTGGAGCAAAAGTTTACAACTATCCTTTGGGGCAACTATTAATAGATCGAACTCCATCTTCCTCTCCGCTTCTGAGTTTGTTTACGTAGTTTGTAAGCGATTTTAAAGGGCAACGTTGCGTATACGCAACATGACTTACCAGTTCCTTTCTTGTGAGTAAGTTTTTCGCGCTGTAAAGAAATTTGGAAAAAAAAGTTAATTAGTTTTAAACTTTTTGGTTCTGCATTTACTGAAAGTATTTAATTTTATCTTTAGTTATGTAAATGCGAATTGTCTAATTTGTATCTTTAAGGCACTTTAAAAATGTAATATTTCTTAAGTGTCGAAACATTTTCCCTTTTATAAATTCAAGTACAAGGTTGGGAAAACGTTGAATTCTCGTGAAAAAACAATTTACGATATAAAAAAAATGAAATTTTAAAAGCGAAATGGGTTGTTTGTAAAATTTCTAAATGAAGTAAAATTAATGACTAACAGTTCCGAATGTAATAAGTTAAAGCTGCATATAAATTTTCACAGATAACAAAAGTTGGCTTAATTGGGCCTTAAATAAATTGTCGAAAGCGGACGTCAAATGTAATTAAGTAGACTTGGATTTATAACTAATTTTGTTCCTATTTTCAAAGCAGAAAATCGAATTAGTGTCTGTTTTGCTGGAGTCTTTTGCACTTTCCTTTATTCCCTCCATTGCAATCCTACTCTTCATTTTTCTCTCTCTAAATCAATAAACAAAAATGATTTTCTCGAAGGCGTTTAAATAAATGAATTGCTGATTAAATGAAGTCGGAAAAGGAAGAAAAGGAGAAGACTTGACGGATGGGCGAAAAGGAAGAGGAGGTCCCAGAGTGATAGCAAACAGCAAAATGAAATGCGAAGAATGCCCAAGAATTTGGGGAACAAAATAAACTTGTAAAAATGGAAGAAGGATAGAGAGTCCTGAGTCCTGAATACTGAGGCAAGGTTAAAACACAGCCGCAGATGCCGACGCGACCAGCGAAATGTGCTCGGAGACACCGTTTTATGGCCAATGATGGAGGATGAAGGACATGGGCGGCTGAGAATGGCGGAATAATAACAAAAACAAATATCCGCACAAAAGCCAATGAACGTCAGTCAGCGGCAGACGCCATAAACATGGCCGAGAGCGAATTTTGGGCCTTGGTCTTTCTGGCGAAAATTCTCCGTTTTCCCCCGAAGTAAAAGGCACGTGCCGGGTCCTAAAGAGGAAGAGAGTGAGACGGAGAAGGGCAAACAAATGCCGGGGAAAATTGCATGCGAAGGGTAATCGCCGAGAACGGGGACTATTTATAAGCGGGCCCCACGAAAATCGGGACTCCATATACTATAAATCCGCGCGACCTTAACCTTATCCGCATTACACACGGAGAACCCAAAGACAAACAGAATACAAGGGGAATCCCACGAGATTGAGAGCGGGCCACTAAAGACAGGTGCGGTGCGGCACTTTGAAAGCTTTTAGCCGGGCTCTTCCATTTACTTTACATTACAGCTCCCCGAGCATTTAGCTAATACAGATCTTCATTTGAGGTGAGGGTAACCGAAAAGCAATTGCTAAATAAGTGGATGTCACATTTTGATATTGAAAGAACAAAGTTTTCATTTTTAAAGTGAAGCAAATTTTTTTTTAAAGTGAAGCAAATTTTATTTTTTACACAAATTTCGATTTTTATTAGTAGTTTCCTTTTAAACTTTTAAATAAAGAAATACTGAAATATGTGTTGATATTCACGAAAAAATGTAGTACTATGCCTTTTCGATAATGGCTTTTAACAACAAATCCGAAATACATAGTTGCCTAACAATCTAGAAAAGTTCTGTTCAAGACGATAACACCCACATATTACTATTCCAGACTAATAATTAACTTAATTGGAGTTCTCGAAAGTTGTCAAGAGCTGAGTTTATGACCCTTAAAGCTCCTGTTCAATTTGAAATAACTTGTCACGTTCGTTGGTGTGACAACAAAGAAACAACAGCAGACGGATAAAGCCGGATAATACAAAGACGAAAGTGAGTCAATAAATTTGACAACATTTTTGTAAAAAATCCTCTAAAGGGAAGCTGCCAGGCCAAGGAGTGGTTGGCCAAAGTGAGGGCATTAAAACAAAATAAAAGACTTGCTCAGACAGTTGCTCTTTGGAAAAGTGCGTGAGGATGGCGGATGGGGGAGGGCAGCGGGTCCAAGGGATGATGGCGAACGAACCGTTGACAAAGTCAATGTTGTTCATAAAAAACGAAAACAAAACTTAATGGATTTCACAGACACTTTGGCGGGTCTCCAAAAGGGCGGCCGAGAAGAAAATTGCGCGCGAGAAGAAAAGTGGCAAAATGCGTTGAAGAAGCTCTCAAATAATTTGCGTTAGGCATCGCACGTCACAGGAAAGTTTTTGAGGCCATGCTGAGTTGTTGCTTGCGATTCCCCATGGGGCGATTGTAAAAATACATTGGAAGTAATATATTCAAGAGTCCCGAGGTTGGGATATCCATCAGAAAAGATCTTACTCAACGCTAGTTATCCAAAAGAATTAAATTTTTCAATATTTCTAACTTAAGCTAAGAAATTTCTATCAACATTCCACTTCCTCTTTTATAAAGTTGCAAATATGTTTAAAGGTTCTAAATGCAAACAAAACATTTTAACATTCGAATAATGTCCCACATTGCAATAGAAACAACATATTGTAATATGGTTGAACATTTGTAAACTTATGTCGCCTTAATGGTTTTCTGCAATATATTTTTGTAATTTTCGACATTGTAAAAGTCTGATATGTAAGCGGCTGCAATTTTTCTTGAATTATGAGAACGTTTTATAGTACAATTTAAAAATCATTTAAATTTTTGTGCTAAAAGTTTCTTTGTATACATTTATGGGAAAAATAAGGAATACACATGTCTGTAAATATTTTAAATCCTATTACGTATATTTAAAAACAAAAAAATATTACTTAAAGAAAAATATTATTCTTAGGACCTTTTTCGGGACTGAGAAGTTACCAAAGTTTAAGGGTTTAATTCTTCTGAGAAACAAGTAGTACAAGTAATTTTTGTTTTAGAAACTGAGCATTCGCTAAAATCCCACTGTTCAGGGGTATTACAAAGTTGCTAAAAAGTAACGCTCTGTAGCCGCCCCGCCGCTAATTCTAATACGTATGACATTCAAGGGTAAAATATTTCATAATTCGCACATTTCTGGGGGATTTGGGGAACGCTAATAATTGCGTGCGATGGTGTGCGTGGGTGAGAGGGTGCCTATATAGGTGGTGGTATTTGCGCTGGTATTTGTACTGGGGTCTGTGTTTGGCTTCGGTTGGTTTTTGTTTGTTTACTCAGCACTCAGCTGAGCCGGAGGCCCTCGAGCACACACACAATCGTACGGCTAATACTCACCTAAGCACACACTCACGCATTCAAATGCATTTTCTTTTCATTTTGGTTTTATATATATTTTTGTGTGTTTTTTTTTCCTCTATTTCTTTTAGTACGTTTCTGTGTTTTTGTCGCGCTTCGTTTGCTGATAACACGGGCTGGCGCTTCGTTGATAGAAGGGGGTGGGAATCCGATGGCGGGGGGGTGGGGACTTGCACGAGAAAGTAAATAGTATATTTACGCGCCGCTTAAATTTCTTGTTTTCCCCCCGAACTGCGCTGCGTATTATGCAAAAAGTGGCTTTGATTTTCGTATTTCAAATTCGTTTTTATCCTGTGCCTTTTACAACCGGCGGCAGTTCCGTTTGCCGCGAAACGCGCACGCACACTTTACTTTTACTACTAAAAAGCAGCTGCTGCTCCCAGCTGTGGGGGCGTGGCAGGGGGCGCGCGGGGGCGGTGGCGGGTGGGCGTGTCGAGAAACGGCCTTGCCCAGCACGAGCTACGCAGCACGAGTACAACTTTAGCACTGAGCAGATAATTCTGTGCGGGACTGTCACTGTCGCCAAATAACAATCTATGTTCCGGCGAGAGACCCTCTCTATGGGGGGCTCTCACTGGCGGCGATAGCTCTCTCTCGGTCTCTCTCGCTCTCAGCCCCTATCTTTCTTTCTCCACCTCGCTCCTTCTCTTTCTACTTCTCAGATGGGTCTGCAGCCTTTTGGAGCTTTTTCCCAGCTCCGGCGCTTCGATTTCGCTGCTCCAGTTCGCCTTGGCACCCCGTTAACAACTGACGAGCTGAAATCATACCGCCAGCCAAAGCAGCTGGGCTTTGTTTACTGTTATTTAGCGCAAGCCACTCTCGGTCTCTCTCGCTTCTTTGGGGGAAGAGAGTTCTCTCACGCACTGGAGAGACCCACAGTGGCTCCAAATTTAGGAAAAAACATATGATTTAACATTGGGTTACTGTAGTTTGTATCTTTCTCGTGAAAGCCATGATAATTTTCATTCGAATAATTCGATTTAGAATAAAAAGCGAAAATAAGAGATTTTTTTTGGTCTCTAATCTAAAACTCAAGCTTAGGAAGAAAATCATTTAAACAAATAAATGAGTGCTGTTATGCATTCTAAAAACAAGCAGGTTATGTTATTCTTACCAAAAAGTGTTCTTTGTATCTTAAATATATAAAATATGGAAACAAAGAAAAATAGGAAATATATAATTGTTTAAGTTTAATATAAATCCATCCATTTTTTACCCACTGTGCACTGTGGGATCGGCGCAGGCGCCGGACTTGGCCTGGTCTAGTCTTTCGGCCGTCAGTTGTTGAGCTAAAAGCCGCATAGTTGTTGCTGTCAGAGCTTCCTAACTCAATCTTGGGAAGCCGTGACATTGAGTGGCCAAAGAAAAATGTTAGTAGGCAGTTGCAGAAAGCCTACTTTTAGGCACTGTTTGTAAACTAGAGCCCTGCATGAATCATTCAATTTTTGTTTTATCATAGTGTGCCATGAAATTTCTGATTTGTTTAATTCAATTCTATGTGAAATAAATTGAATGTTGTTCTAATTCATTTCGAATTGAATGAATCGAATGAATTATTTTATGAATTTTATGAATTTTCCAGATTTTTTTGTGCTTTCTTTTGAGAACAGAAAGTGGAAAATTTTTAACAAATCAATGTTAACTGCATAGTAAATAAAATTCAGGCAGATTTAATCACAAAATTATGGCCCTTTCTTCTTCAAAATAAATTGTCGTTTGAATTATTTCGGAATTCATGCCATTCATTCATTCAATTCTATTAAACTCAAAATTCAAATTCATTCAATTCTATTAAACTCAAAATTCTAATTAATTCATTCATATAGAAGAAAAAATTCAAAATAATTCATTGAATCCATTCATGCAGGGCTCTATTGTAAAACTAACATTAGCCTGCTGTTCGCTAAACCACGAAGATTATTGCTCCCATAAATATTAATTCCTTTAGAAATCTAAAGTTTTTTTTTAATTTTACAGCTTGTTGAAGACAGCTTAAGAATATAAAATACGGGTTTTTATTTTAAAAGTCTTAATGACTAAGTACATTTTTTGTGATCATATTTCTACAAAATTTTTGTTAACCTCTGTTTAAAATCTGTTCCTAATCGCACACTATTAAAGAAGAAGTATAAAAGGTTATAATAAAAAAATTTATAAAAATAAAAATTTCTGTGCAAAAACGTGGGAAGTATTAACAAATAAGTAATCAAAATTGCCTTTGATGCAAATTAATCTCAACGACTTTATGTACTCAAAGCTAAGGGCGTTTCAAATGCTGAAGAGGGGTAATCCAACCGCTTTCTAGTAATCCATTCTCCCGTCAGTAGAACTCACTTAATTTTGAGCTGGCTGGCTCTGCCGTTGTGGTCTCCGTTTGACCAGTTCCCTGCTCCTGCTGCGGATTATCCGCATCCGGGTTGTCTTCCGGTTCCGATTCCTCCTCCGCCACCCTCACCCCATCATCACACACGGCGATGGGCTGGCGCTCCAGCAGGGGGCGTGGCAGGCGTCCCAGAAAGGCCGAGCAATAGGTCCGGATGATCTCGCACTCGCCGGGCGACCGGTCGACCACAAACGCACACGTCTGGATGATGTCATGCGGCGTATTGTCCATGTACTGGAACACCAGGTGCTGCTCCTCCGCCTCGCCATGCGTAACCACTTTTCCATCCAAACTGCCGGCGGTGAAAATGAAAAGCCAATTAGCGAGGATTACCAGACACACGCGAAAATTCAACTCACCCAACTGGCTTTCCGGGAATTTTTATTTCCAGCTCCTCATATTTGCCCAACACATAGTCGAATCGCTCTTTGGCATCAGCGTCCTCCATCTGTGGGATTACAAATTCGTTGGGTTCATTTTGACAAAAAAAAATTATTACTTGGTAAAAAATATAAAAAAAGGTTAGAAGAACACATAACTTATGAATATTACCCACTCAAAATAGTTATAATTTTTTTTATAAGTAGCATATTTTAAGTGATAACAAATATTATAGTTTATTCAAACAAAAAAAGTACTCACATCTTCTATGCAGTGATTAGGCGGAATGCATATCGTAAGCTGTAAATTGATTTTAAAATAATATAACATCCCAACTTTATAAACGAAGAGCTCACCACAACATTTGACATCGAAATAAACCCCAGGAACAGCAGCAAAAATCTGGATAAATCCATGCCTCAACCGTACGCTGATCAAAGCTCAAAGCAAACTAATTTTAAAATCAGAGCTGGTCAGTGGGATCGCCGTACAATTGCGAAATATGAATATAAAATATTCTCGTTCATTTTTCTCGCTTCGCTTCGTTGTAAGATATGACGTCATGATAATTAAAAAATACAAAAACAAAAACCTATACATTAGCAAACAATTGGGTAGTCATAAAATCTCGTAAATCTCACACGCAAAGCTACCACTCAAATGAATGCTTATCACTCACTGATGGCAAATGAGTTTTTTTGGGGAAAATTTTTCTAACCCCAAATATAAAAAAAATTTTTATATTATTTTTAATAATTATCATAAAAAAATAATAAATTTTAAAGCATTCATACAAAAAATGTGATAAGTTTGAATACCATTTGATGTAGCTTCTAAAGCAAAGACCCGAAAGAAGCTACATATATCTCAGAAAGAGCACACACGTGCCTTAATAACTAAACCGATCAGGGTAAATTCTCTATAAACAATCGAAACAAATAAAGCAAAATTTAATATAAACAGCTGTATAAATTTTGCATTAACTTGTAGAGGGTAAATGGATTGAAGCAGTTGGTCTCTACCATCTGCCAACACCTGCGATCAACATATCAAAATCAACAAATGGACAATGAGTGAAGCAGCAACCATCTCCTTGTACAACTTTCTAAGACAAATTCTTACAATGGACATAAGTAAACAATAATAATTTGATAGTACCAGTTGGGTAAATTTGCGAATATTCCTCGGATCGAGGCACTATATAAGGGTTGCTACCATCCGGCAAGAGCATCAATCCCAAAATGAGGGCAACATCGCTCATCTTGTCCGTAGTCCTTGTCCTGGCAGCCTGCCTCCTGAGACGCAGCGAAGCGGTGACCTGCACCGCTGATGCCACAGTCACAGGATGCATCGACTGCACCACTAATCCGACCGATGCGGAATGCGTGGCCGAGGCAGCCGCAGCTACACCCACTACGGCACCCACGACGGGAACAGATGCCCCCACCACCGGAACCGACTCCACAGCTTCACCAACCACTGCGTCCTCTACAACGTCCCCAAATAGCAGTGCCACTCCGGCTCCCAGCACTTCCGCCAGCGACTCATCCTCCCCCAGCTCGTCTTCCGGCACCACGGGAACCAGTAGCTCGACTAATGCGGCTGCGGCTAGAAGGAGGAGGGCGGCCAGAAGGAGGGCTCAACGCAGGCGAGCTGCTCGCAGGCGGGCTGCCAGGAGGAGGGCCCAGAGGCGCCGCCGACAGAACAGAACCGGTTAAAGCAAAAAACCTATTATTACAAAAAAGCTAAATAAAATCATCTTGCAATCCTTACAAAATTGGCGTTCTTTTTATTTCTATATTAAATAAATGTTTTTGAAGGAAGCTAATTCAAGAACTCATTGTCTCTTAATCATACGCTGATCCGATAAGTTATAATTCAATAATTCAATATAAACGATAGCTCGGGTGAAATATGAAAGAAGTTGTGGTATTCAAAAAGTATGCAACAAAAAAATGTTCTGATTTCACCGCCCACAACAAAATCTTAGATCCGCCACTGCTCTTAATGTTAAATTGTTGGCACTTGTAAAATTTCTTTTTCGACTAACTGGCAGGGTTATGTTTGCGTTTTTTTTACTTGTTGATTGAATTTATAAATCACCACACCTAAAAGACGGAGTGTTTGCGTACTGTGCTTCAGGAAATTGTCTTTAAATACCCAAACAAGGGTAGAATCGCTATAGTAACGGGTTGGTGTCCCGACCCATATCTAATACTGGTCACTCAGCCATTAAGGGAGTGCGAACGCTGTACTCGGGTTAGTGTCCCGACTTTTAATAATCGTAAACTCAGCTCCTAAAGGGAGTGCGAGGGAGATAGATATAAAATTTTTGATTGCGTATAACTATTTAATGAATGGTCCGATTTGAAAAATAGGTATAAATATACACAACAAAATTGCATTTATATTTCTCGGAAATCTTTAAAGATTTGGGCGCAGGACCCATTTTAAAATCGTTAGTGGGCGAATGTGGCCGTTAGAGGGGCGTGGCGCTCAGCTAAAATAAACTTGCGCTGCGTAGGAAGCCAAATAATATGTGTGGGAAATCTCAACCTTCTAGCTTTTGTAGTTTCCGAGATCTCAATTGCTTTGTTCATACAGACAGACAGACGGACAGACGGACCATGGCTAAAGATCGACTCGCTCTAGTGCCCCATACATCAAGAATATATATACTTTATGGGGTCGGAAACGCTTCCTTCTAGCTGTTACCATACTTTTTGCATGGAACTAATATAACCCTATTTCACTCTACTTTTGAGTAAACGGGTATAAAAAAGAGCGACGAGGTGAAACATTTAGTATTTGGAAGCTTTATTATACCATATAATAAACTGGCAATCCGTTTAAATTACTTTCGCTGAAATCTACTCTCAGGACGGACGGAAATGGCTAGATCGGCTCGGCTACTGATTCTCTGACGAAGAATACAAAAACTTTATAAGGTCTGCCACGCGCGGGTCTCGACACTCACCGGGGCTTGTCATCATTTTGTTTAATTTATTGCTCTAACCATTATTTGCCCCCTTCATATGAAACAAATCTTTATTAGAATGTTTAATCACCCATACTAGAAACTATTTGCTCATCCTTCAACCTACAACTTAAAAATTTTTAGCAGATGGCATTCATTATCTTTGGATAGAAAATAGTCAATAATAAACAGTATTCAAGGTTATAATAAACGAAAAAGTTTATTATTTTTCTATCAAAATATACACTTAGAAAAAAGTATAACAAAAATATACATATATATTTTTTAGTTCTATTTTTTAACTTTTATTAATAAAACGGGCTTTCTGCTATCAGAAGTTAAAAAAAAAATCTAAACATTTTTAGAAAATGGAAAATGGACCTCACATTTTAGAAATAGCAAAATGGTTAATAACTTTAATTTTCACACTACTTACAACTATAGTTTTCAAATTTAATTAAACCATTTGACATCAGCAAATTTGTACATTCCCATCGTTTTTTTCTGTGTATATCTTCTATCTTTCACATCCGATAGTTAGTGAGTTCATAACAAACAATCTAGAATACGTATGAAGATAATATAGGAACACCTGCGTAAATTTTGCCAATAATCGTCGGATGGGAAGAGTCTCTCGACCTCGATCGAACCACTATAAAAGTCTTTTCAAAATACGACACTAGCATCAATCAACAATCCCAAGTCAGCAAATCCGAAATGAGATCAGCAACTATTATCTCCGCCATCTTCGTCCTGGGAGCCTGCCTTCTGAGGACCACCGATGCAGTGACCTGTACCGCCGACCCCACCGTCACAGGATGCATCAACTGCACCACCAATCCCACCGATGCTGAGTGCGTGGCCGAGGCAGCCGCTGCCACCACCACACCGGCTCCAACCACGACTACCAGCACCACCGAAGCCTCCACCACTACGGCAACGCCCATCACCACTGGCGGAGGAAACCGGAAGATCGTGCGCGTGAGCAACCTGCAATACTCGGTCACTCGTCGCATCCGCGTGAACAGCACCACACCCCGATCCTCCAGCCGCAATGGTAGGACCAGGACCAATGGCAGACGCTCGACCAACGCGAACCGCAACCAAAAGCGCAGGAACAACAATGCCAGGCGTGGTAACTCCAGGAACAGGCGCGGAAACGTTCGTGTTGTTGTTGGTTAAAAATGTAAATAGTAAAGGAAATTGTTATTCAAATAAATAAAACTGAAAAAACTATAAAAAGTAAATTAGGATTTTAATTACACTATGTAATATTACAAATGTAACTCAACCGATGCCCTAAAATCTCATCCGCTTTGAATAACCATTTTTAAAATTGTTCTCCAAAAAATTCCCCCAAAAATGTGGTATTTTGCCAGCATTCGAGGGTTATACAGGCGAACAGATTCGTCGTATATTAGGCATTCAAAAAGCACTCAAAATATTTTTTTTTACTTTTTAAGGGAAATAAATACGAAAGAAAACATAGCCATAGTTATACAGCTTCGGTCAAAATAATAGTAGTATTTTCGCCCCACGATTTTAAAACATGGTTGTTGTGGGTTTTGGGAAAATCCTTTCAAAATAATCGCGTTAAAAGCATAAAGTTTCCTGCTTCGGTACCCAGAGGTAACTGGAAATCGGCTGGGTCGAGTTCACAATGAAATCTTATGAAAAGTTTAAGGGGGTTTTCACAAGGTAATCTTTTTCAGTAGCTTTTCAGCGGTAAATACGTTCGCTGCTCGTTTGCAGTGTTGGGACATACCTAGATACTTTTACCTAGGTACGTACCTAGGTACAATTTAGTGGTACCTTTTACCTTACCTAGGTATACAAATAATTGAGTACCTTTTACCTTACCTAGGTATTTATTTTTATATACCTTTGGAATTATTAAGGTACTTACATAGGTATTAAACATTGCTCTGATTTAAAATAGCCAAATCTGACTGCGACACTGTAGTATCGTTTCATTGTATCGTTTCGTTTCAGAATTGTAATAGTCGGAACGCAGCATTAATAATTCAGCCGTTCTATTGTTTGTTTTGTGAAGTTAAAACTAATCGCAGTTTTTATACCCGTTACTCGTAGAGTAAAAGGGTATATTAGATTCGTGCAAAAGTATGTAACAGGTAGAAGGAAGCGTTTCCGACCCCATAAAGTATATATATTCTTGATCAGGATCACTAGCCGAGTCGATCTAGCCATGTCCGTCTGTCCGTCTGTCCGTCTGTCCGTCTGTCCGTCTGTCCGTCTGTCTGTCCGTCTGTCTGTCTGTATGAACGCTGAGATCTCGGAAACTATAAAAGCTAGAAGATTGACATTTTGCATGAAGATTCTAGGAGTTCCTACGCAGCGCAAGTTTGTTTCAAAAAGGGTGCCACCCCCCCTCTAACGCCCACAATCGCATATATACGATTTTAAAAATTTCATTATTTTGGAAAAGTAAAAATGCAGTTTTATTGTGTTTATCAATACCTATCGAAATGTAGAAGAAATTTTTTAAATCGGACCATTCGTTAAAAAGTTACGGCGGATCAAAGTTTTTCTCCATCTCCTTCGCACTCCCTTTAGCTGAGTAACGGGTATCTGATAGTCGGGGCACCCGACTATAGCGTTCTCTCTTGTTTTTTATATAATTTTGTGCACGTATGTATGTTCCCATCACTACATCAATTTATTTATGAAACCAAAGTGTATTTGGCGCGCAAAAATGCCGTATGTACGTAAACAAACGGCATATACATGCATATGCACAATATATAGTCAATGTTTCTACATACGGAATTTTTGCGCGCCAAATATGTACATGAGGGTTTCATAAATACATTAATGAAGTGATACGTGCATAAAATTATTCATGCCGCGTGGTTTAAAAATATATGCACAAAATTAAAACATTTAAATTTAAATGAAATGAAAAGATATTGTTTGATTAAGACGACTAAAAACTGAAAACTAGTCTTATTTTAAGTTTAAATGATTACATTGAACAACACAAAAAAAATTATAAAAATAAAAAATACCTTATAAATACCTTTTACCTTTACCTAGGTACTGGGAAATTTAAGTACCTTTACCTTACCTAGGTATTTATTTTTGACAATACCTTTTACCTTACCTAGGTAAAAAAACACAGTACCTTTCCCAACACTGCTCGTTTGCAGCTCTAAAATTCTCAAGTTTTTATTCCTAATTCTAATTCAATTCTAGTTTCCGATTAATATTTCTCTAATTAGGTCACCAACTAGATTATCGAGCTTCTCCATATCAACAATTTTATATAGGAAATTCCTGTGTAAAGGCGGTCGCTAAAATTTCAGTATATTCTATATTGTTCAGGAATTATGAATATGCTAAAATTTTTGGCAGACCTATTAAAAGCGAATGGGTTTCTTAGGAATAGTTCATGTGAAACCTGCAGCCAATTCAATTATTAAAGTGTACATTTTTATGGAGAAAGGTCCGACTGGGTAGTTAGATAGTTGTAAAGTTGTAAAGGTCCGATCAGTATGATTTTAAAGAAATAAATAATAAGAATTATTAGAATTGGACCAAAAATCGTCTGCCTAAAAGTATGCCATACAAATGATCATATTTCGAAGATATTAAAAGCCTTTTGATCACGCGCGCTAAAGCCAATCCCATGTTTAGCTAAAAGCGTTTTTTAATGCACGAAAATTTTATTAGACGGAAAAACATTCAATCTATTTCAATATAAGCAAGATTTTCTTGACTTTATCCCAGGGAAACGTCCACTGGCCGCAATTTGTGGTGGGTGGTTTCAAAGTGGTACTAGTGACCACACACAATGAGTTGGAGGGATCGGTGGAGCAGTCGACGGTGGTGCTTGTTGCCGGTTGTTCTAGGCACTCAACGTTGTCGGCCATGATGCTCAAATTGCAGTCGATGCATCCAACATGGGTTGGGTCGTCGCTGCAAGTCACCGCGTAGCTGCTTCCCAGGAGACAAGCTGCAAGGACCAAGATAATCACTGCTGCTCTCATTGCGACACCGGTTTGTGGAGATAGGTGATCTGAGCTAATATAGGTCTCTGGAAACGCTTTTATAGCGATACATTACAATCTGATTATTGGCACAACTGTTTAATATTTTAACATATTTATCTTAATTGTTTGCTGAGAGTTGGCAAAGATTGGCTTGTTTTCTGCTCGAGTGTTCTTAAAAGAGAGAAACCATAAGGCTTATGTATAAGAAATTGGTACACAGAGAAAAAAACGGAACAATATGGAACTGATATTGTTTCATATCAATTTTTCCATAACAAAATGGTATGATTTCATATCAATATGGTACAAAATCATATGTTCGGAAATATCATTTTGATATGAAAACAGAATGACCGAAATTGATATGAAAAAATACCCGATGGATGATTATTTTTGGTATTTTTTTTTCTCTGTGTAGTCACTAACGCCCACTTTTTTACAAGTATGAAATTAAATATTAAACAATTTCTTTAGAAAATATTTGATCTTCACGTCGAATGAAAAATATGGTCTACCATTTAAAAAATGTACAACTTATTTTGTTTAAAGCTCTTGGCTCTAAGGGACTTTGTACAATAAGTATGTTTTTACATTTATATACGGTTTTTCGAAAAAATCTTTCTTAACGTTTATAAAAACATAATCATAAACACTATTATGTTGCTTAAAAAAGTATTTTGATTTCGGATGATGGGAAAGAAATATATTTACATTGATAGAAGGTAACCACAATTACATGTTACATCTACCAAGTGTGGCAGCATCATCCGATAAAGACAACAATCAATTATGTAATTAATCATGCAGACAGGAGGTGCAAAAACAATAAGGTTTTAAAGTTAAAAATAATTTTTTTTTGATATACAATTTTATGTAGACGTTCGTCAACCCAATTAAGTGGTTATAAAGCGCATATTTAGAACAAAGAAACAAATAACTGGAAACATAACATGAGTGTGGAAATAACAATTTTATAGCATTGACAATACTACATTATTGTCTCAGGACGAGGGTTTGATAGCGTCCTCACGATTGACTTGACACATTGTTACTGAGGCTGAGAGTACTTCTTCCTCTAAGCATCCAGTTCAGCTTTCGAAGTTTGGCACGACAAATGATTATGTGCTGGCTCCACGTAAGACGCTTGTCCAATATCAATCCCAAATACTGGGCCTGGGGGGATGGCGGGATAACTGTGTCCTGCAGTTAAACCCTAGGAAGGATTTTACTTCTTAGGGGGAAGTTGCAGTGCTGGGAATTGCTTCTGTCAAAAGCGATGTTTCATTTGGTCATCCACTCGCTATACAGGTCTAAAAAGTTCTGGGTGAAATAAAAATTGATTGGTTTTCCTATCGAGTAGAAGCATAAATTTCTTAATTTAAGGGAATAACCATTTAATATTCCAGTTAGCATAAAATTTTAAAGTAAAATATTCCCAATTAAAACCAATTAGCAAATATTTGCAATCTAAGGATAAAGTTTTTTTGTTTTCGTTCGAGTTTTATTGAGTTTTTTTTTATTCCACAGAATTAACCGACAATAACAATGTTTCCGTTGACCCTTCTCACATTCACACGCCTGGATCTATTTCTGCGCCTTCGGTTTCGAAGGGTGGTGCGGATGGTGCTGGTGCTCGAGCGGTTTCGTCTGATACGAATGCGCCTGGTGTTCGAGTACCGCATATTCGTTATACGCACGATCTTTCGCTTTCCGGTCGAAGAGCTGGAGGATGAGGCAGAGGACACCGTGGTGGCCGCCACAGTGGTTGTTTCCGCCAGCGGCTGCCTCGGCCACGCATTCCGCATCGGTGGGATTAGTGGTGCAGTCGATGCACCCTGTGACTGTGGCATCAGCGGTGCAGGTCACCGCTTCGCTGCTCCTTGGCCCGCAGACTGCCAGGACGAAAAGTACGGCTAAGATGGTTGCTGCTCTCATAATGGAATCTATGATCTGGTGTTGCAGACCATTGACGGCCTTGGCTTTTATAGGCGTTCAATTCTACGCAACTTTCACATTCAAAGATTATTGGCAAATTTACGCAGCTGGTTCTTTTAAATTTTGCAATATTTTCCCCGCTTATTTGCTAGGAATTCGCAATAACGATTGGTAAAAAATTTGATATGCTTAGATGTATTATATATTGTTAGTATTAAAGACATATTGTTAGGAATAGTCAAACATTCTATCAGTTGTATTTTTTAAAGAAGTAATTACCGCATTCTATATTGACTTGTCAGGGATGGAAGCACAATAAAGTTAAGTTGCAATTTATTAAAAAAAGGAAATGTTAGTGGAAAACCAATTTTAAATTTAATGGTTTTAAATTCGATATATTTCATTAAATATTGAAGTTAAAAAGAAAATAATTTACAAAAAAAAAAACTATTTACTATAAAAACTATAATTAAAATATACATATGTTCTTTAATAATTATCACTTATAATTATTATAATTATACCGATTAATACCTATTTTTTATTTTCCGAGAGGAGGATTATTATTTTTTAAGTTTTATTTCTCGAAATATCAAAATATAAAATATTGTTAAAAAATTAACAATTTTAAATTAAAGGACAATAAGTTATTATAAATTCTATAATGTAAAGATTGTTTTTTTTTTTTTTGGGGTTTAAGTTACCGCGTCACCCGTAAGTGATGCGGAGTTATTTGGCCGCCCTGAGTTCCAGGAAAACGCCAAGGCAAAATTCGATTGTATGTGTTTCAAATTCACTTAACCTAAAAGTGAATCCACACCACGAGGTCCCTTGCCCTACCCGGCGCGAATTGTGCGTGTTCCTTCAAGGGCCTGTGAATGTGGACTGGATGTAAAGATTGTTATTCGGTAAGATTCGAATAACAATAGTTCTAAGATGCCATATTATTTATTAGCGCCTAAATCCGAGCAGTAAAAACTTCGCCATCTGTCTGAGTAGTTTCCTACCAATCAGCTTTCGATCAACGACAATATCGTCCCAGTTCTATAGACTTTCTAATCAAAAAGGTGCGATGCGGCTTATATTTAACAAACTAATGTCTTAATAAGAGCGAAAGAACGAAGTCATTAAATAAAAGCTTTTTGTTATACTCGCTTAGTATTTTGACAGCTGTCGATATTTGGCAATACGTAAATTTCTATTCTATCGATTTGTTGGCCCAGCTGTCGACCGTCCTCACAAAAGAACCGTGAACTGTGCGAGTGGTATAAAGGCAATAGCAATCCATCCGCAGATCATCATCCAAGCCCATCCGTTTGAACTGATATCAACCATGAGGACAACCACTCTCCTTCTGGGCCTTGGCCTTTTGGTCCTCTGCTTTTCGGGCTACATCAACGCTGAGGATGAACCCCACTGATGGAAGCACCACTCCCACTGATGGCAGCACCACTCCCACTGATGGCAGCACCACTCCCACTGACGGGAGCACCACTCCCACTGATGGTAGCACCACTCCCACTGATGGCAGCACCACTCCCACTGATGGCAGCACCTCTCCTACTGATGGCAGCACCTCTCCTACTGATGGAAGCACCTCTCCGTCGACTGGAGGCAGCACCTCTCCCTCTACAGGCGATAGCACGAGCCCTTCGGCAGGATCCACCGACAACTCCCCCGCCACCGGAAGTGACGACAGCAGCAGCAACAGTGGCAGCAGCAACAGCGGCAATGGCAACAGGAACAGGAACCGCCGGAATCGTCGCCAGCGTCGTCGCCGTGCCCAGCGAGCTCAGCGCAGGAAGAACCGCAGGAACCGCAGGAACAACAGGAACAACAGGACCAACAGGAACGGCTAAGCGGGAATAATTGTTTATGAATTTACTAATGAAGTAATCAGCATTAAAAAAGGAATTCCTAAAAAACTTATATTTTTTTCTCTGGGGATAACTACTATATTTTTTTTTTAATTAACGAATAGTGAAATGGATGGCATGCCAAAAAAACTATCAATAAAAAAAAAATTAGAGCTTAGAAGGTCAAAATAATATTAAAATACTAACAAATAATTACAGACCGGAGAGAATTAATTTCGTTTAAATATTTACCATTTAATTTTAAATATTAAAAACAATTTTTAATCGTTGTTTTTACGACTTTTAGCTTTTCCACATGTCATACACGCTTCAATTTCCGTTCACTTATGCACACGGACTTTTCAGTTTGTTTAAGTTAACTTTAACGCAAAACGTGTGCATGATTATCTATTATAGCACTTTATTTAATTTGACCCATTCAAATTTATAAGCTATACTAATTCCCGTTTGATTCCCACTACTGAAACTGGTTGCTCCACGATCGGTAGAAATTAATTATAACAGAGCAAAGTTTGTTTATTATATAAGCGTTGTGATTCCTGGGATTCACCGAAATATTTATGTTCTGGGCTATTTTTTCGAAATAACAAGTTCTAATGCTCACACTTTTTATTAAATCACAATTATTTGACGTAGAAACAAGAACCTCAGTCTACCAGGTAGTGTCGATCTCAGCTTCATCCTTGCACAGGACCTTAACATTGGTGCCCTGGTTCTTTTCTAGCAGCCATGGTCTGTCCCAGATCGTCACTGTGCACTCCTTGGGGTCAGATCCGTTGGACAGTTCCACCTGGAATTTGTACAGAGTACCAGCCACCAGTTTGCTAGATGCAGAGATCACATTCACAACTCTGGAATAAGAAAGATTTTAATAAATATACAAGTAATTACATTTTTATTCGTTCATCTCATCCCATAGAACTTCATTTTTTAAGTTGTTCAGAAGAATGGGGGTAAATGTACATGGCTAAATTTTCCATTTCTATGGATCATAGTGTAAATGTTTAACAGCCGTTACTATTTTTAGTTTTCGGTACAGTTCGGTCAATATTTTACAATAAATCAAATTTATTACGATTGTTTTTATACCCTTGCAGAGGGTATTATTATTTCAGTCAGAAGTTTGCAACGCAGTGAAGGAGACGTTTCCGACCCCATAAAGTATATATATTCTTGATCAGCATCACAAGACGAGTTGATCTAGCCATGTCCGTCTGTCCATCTGTCTGTCTGTCCGTCTGTCCGTCTGTCTGTTTCTACGCAAACTAGTCTCTCAGTTTTTGAGCTATCGGGACGAAACTTTCGCAAAAGTCTTCTTTCTATTGCAGGTAGTATATATGTCGGAGCCGACCGGATCGGACAACTATATCTTATAGCTCCCATAGGAACAATCGGAAAAAAAATTCTAGCTTCGGTGTTTTTTAAATATTACCTTCTATTTTTGGGGATGTTATTTTTTAAATATTTCTGAATTTCGAATTAATTATTTAAAAAATCGGACTACTATATCATATAGCTGCCATAGGAACGATCGGAAAATTAATGGAAAAGTAATAGGAAATAAATTCTAGCTTCTTTGGTTTTTATTGTATTATCTTCTACTCTAGGATATGACTCTTTTTAAATATTTCCGAATTTCAATTTTAATTTGATCAAAATCGGACGACTATATCATATAGCTGTCATAGGAACGATCGGAAAATTAATGAGAAATATTAGAAAATTGAACATTTTTGCGATTTGTTAATTAATAGGAATGATCTGCAAGGGTATATAAGCTTCGGCTGGCCGAAGCTAGCTTCCTTTCTTGTTTTCGTATACTTTTGGATTTTATGATATAAAAACGAAGAATATCTTAGTTGCATAATACTCTTCCATATTCACGATCACTTTCACCACGTTTGTATTGAACTTTAAAAAAGGAGTATATTAAATAGATCTACTAATAACTTACTCGTAATTAGGACCATCTCCTGTTGCTAGTTTGGCAAGTGTTGCGGTCAACAGCTCATTAGCCTTTGCTAGATCATCTCCCTCTAGGGGTTTTGGAGCCCCGAGCGGCAACCTCCTCGGCTTGTACTATCAAAAAGAAATTAAATATTGTTTTTAAAAAATCAGGTAAAACTTACGCGAGCTGAGGCAACGGCCAGGGTCAAAGACAGAACAAAGATCACTTTCACGGCCTGCATTTTCCTCGAAACACTTGTCTTAAACTGAGTAAACACGGCGCTTAGAGACCGCTTTTATAGGAAACCGATATCGTCTGGGTGGTCGGCGAGAATATATCTTTATTTATTCGCGATTAACGCCAAGCTGCCGCTTAAGATAGAGAGGAGCTAGTGTGCACTCAAACCTGAACCCGGCGACAATGAAGCGGCTCGCTTAGCATCTTTTTACTTAATTTTTAGTTTATTGCCTTCTATTTTATTTTGCTTTTGGACTTGACTGCGGTTTTATGATTCCATTTTACTTGTTTGCCCAGGTCAGGAGTGGTGGTTATATATCGATCAGTACGGTAATGCCCTTATTAAAGTCGTTCTTTGTGTCAACAATAACAAAGAACGCAGCGTAAATAAAAATATAACTCACACCCCAGCTACTTTCTTATATAAGCAGCTCAGTTTATTTTTTAAATATTTTATTTTTAGCACGTTATTGGCAATCGATCTCATTTGTCATGCTCAGAACTGTAGGAACCCGAAGGATTCTCATAACATTCTTACGAAAAAAGACTTGTGAAATAAATATTTGTATTCCCTTTTTAGCTTTAAATAATTAAAAAGCTTAAAATTGCAAGACGAATCGTCGCAAGCGTGTCCAGCTGTTTATCTACGACAAATCGTTAGAACTTGACACATTTAAGCTTTTCAAGAGCTGAGCAATAACTAAAACAGTACGAAAAACAAGCTCACAACAAAACGAATGAGATAATTTACAGTCATGTATTTAACGAATGAAAGTTGAAAGCGAAATTGACATAGAAAAATAGTTATCAGTTCGTTCTCGCCAATTTCAGTGGGTGTAATTCCCCCACACGTGTATTACGCTTACGAATTACGAATGTGTTATGTACGTATATTACTCATGTCGTGTCTTATCAAAAACCATCGAACACTTAACTACTCTGATATGAAGAGAACAAAGCCTATTCAAAACCACAAAGTAATTAAAGTGCAGAGAGAATTTTATTTTGTAACATCAAATGCTCCATCTGATGATGTCGACGTTGACTAATTTGATTCACACAATTGTGGAGCGAGAAAGAGAATACGATTTTCTATTCGAGATATAAAAACAAACTGGTTCTGACAATAGAACTGGTTAACCAATAACAAACTCGCAGGTAACCCACTTTATGAGCCTGCTGATCCCTAAAATAACCTTTTCATGGCCAGTTTGGTTGTAAGTATTAGGGATCCACCTAGGTAGGGAAAAAACCTACAGGTACATAAAATTATCTATGTCTGAAATAAAGTAGGAAAATACAAACCAGGTAAACTGTAATATGATACATATAGTAAAAGTGATTACTATTACACATTTCGCAAAAATATGAATCATTTAATATTAAAGAACTTTATTTAGTATTATTTATTACCAAGTGCGGTCCAATTCGCCATCTTCACCGGCGCACATGATCTTAATGTTGGTGCCGTTTTCTTTCAACCAGACCCGAGTCCAGATTTCGACGGTGCATTGTTTCTTTTCGGATCCATTATCTAGCTCCACCTCGTAGGTGTTGAGAGTTCCAGCCACAGTCTGACCCGTCACAGAGGTCACTTTAAGAGCCCTAGAATCGAAATATCATTCAGTGATAAATTTCAGTCAGAACCTCGACTTGACTCACTTGTAGCTGGGACCATCTCCAGTGGCCAACTGGGCGAGGGTGGCATCCAGAAGTTCTAGAGCCTCCTTCCTCTCATCCCCCTCCAGCTCCCGGATACCTCCACAAAAATGTTCGGCGGGCATGATTACGGCAGCAAAACTAAACAGAACCGACCTCAGAAGGTAAAATGACTTCACTGCGCTTATGTTTCGGCCGCGACGATTAGGAGAGAACTAATGAAGCTTTCGGTATGGAAATGGAATTGTGAGAAATACAATGAGTAAACGATTCGCGAACACGGCATATAAATTATAAACTTAAAGATATGATTCTGATTTTTATTAAAAATTTAAAATCCTGATTTACTAGATTAGTTATTTTGGTATTTGAATAGCTCAGTTATCTGGTGCCCTTTTACCAGGTGCGATCCAACTCGCCATCTTCACCGGCGCACTTGATCTTAATGTTGGTGCCGTTTTCCTTCAACCAGACCCGAGTCCAGATTTCGACGGTGCATTGTTTCTTTTCGGATCCATTATCTAGCTCCACCTCGTAGGTGTTGAGAGTTCCAGCCACAGTCTGACCCGTCACAGAGGTCACTTTAAGTGCCCTAGAATCGAAATATCATTCAGAGATACATTCCTGTCAGAACCTCGACTTGACTCACTTGTAGCTGGGACCATCGCCGGTGGCCAACTGTGCGAGGGTGGCATCTAGAAGTTCCAGAGCCTCCTTCCGCTCATTCCCCTCCAGCTCACTGATCCCTCCTAGAATTGGTCCGGTGGACATGGCTACGGCAGCAAAACTGAACAGAACCAATCCCAGAATGTAAAATGACTTCACTGCGCTCATGTTTCGGTCGCGACGATTGTGAGAGAACTAATGAAGCTTTCGGTAGAGTAAGAGCTTTTATGGTCGTTATCTCCATGGAAATGTGAAAAATACAATGAGTGAACGATTCGCCAACACGGAATACAAATTATAAACTTCAAGATCTTGATAAAGTCCTATTAGTTCTGATTTTAATTAAAAATTAAAAATGCCTATTTAATACATTAGTTACTTTAGGTATTTGAATAGCTCTATTATCCAATGCATAGTGAAATTTTTCGAAGGAATTCGATTTGTTTATGAAGCGTTTCAGGCATAACGCGAAACCCTTTTACCAGGTGCGATACAACTTTGTTCATGTTAATCGATGGACGATAATCAGAAAACTCATAAACACCCGGCTACGATTCCCATTTTATATTCGACATCTCAGTAGGAGATGAACAACTGAAATATAATAAATATAATATAATATGAAAAGTTGCATATTATTTTTCTCGTTCGAATATTAATCCAAAGGTAGGTTTTAAACACTACATTTAGTATTTCATATTAGCTCCGAAAAGAACATATTTTTTTCATAAATAAGTTAGAACCCCTTTGAAATTCTTGCTAAGTGATCTAAAAGTCCAGCTGATTAGCCCATTTCTATTGAAATATTGATAGTTTATATTCAAATTACCGCCCGTTAAAATTAGCATAAATATTCTAAATTAACAACAAACAATCTGTTTTAAATTATTCTATTTGGGGTCATATAACCCTTAGTCGTGAGCCAATTTAGCAAGGAATATAAATGAAAAACTTGAAGATTATTAGCTCTGATTTGTATTCAAATGTAAAATAAATACTAAATAAATGATCTATTTATAACGATAATTAACTTAAGCCCCAAAAATAAATTACACGTTCGTTTGTATAAAATCAGTTTTATACAGCCATAAGCCTTGTTTATTTTTCATAGAAATTGAAGTTTTTGTTCAACCGATTCACAATGAAGACAGGAAAACCTTTTACCAGGTGCGGTCCAACTCGCCATCGTCACCGGCGCACTTGATCTTGATGTTGGTGCCGTCCTTGCTCAGCCAGGGCTGAGTCCAGATCTTCACGGTGCACTGCTTCTTGTCGGATCCATTGTCCAGCTCCACCTCGTAGGTGTTCAGAGTTCCAGCGACAACCTGACCAGTCACAGAGGTCACATTAATTGCCCTGAAATCGAGGAACACAAAAATTAGTGGTAATTTAAGGCATACGTATATTTGAAATGCGTATGTATCTCACGTTACTTAAAGTCAGCTTTATATGAATAAATAAATATTTCTTACTTGTAGCTGGGACCATCTCCGGTGGCCAAAGTGGACAGGGTAGCGTCCAGGAGAGTAAGAGCCTCCTTCCTTTTGTCGCCCTCCAACTGGCTGACACCTCCAACAACATGCTGCTCATCAGCTGCGTGGATGGCAGCCAAGCCCATGAGAACAATGCCCAAAAAGTACAATGATTTCACTCCGTTCATGTTGCTTGCTCGACGATTGGGAGAAAACTGACGATCACCCGGCGATGAGGCCCGTTTTATACCTGCCATCTCAGTGGGAGATCGACAATGGAAAAATACAATGGCCAGATGTCATCAGGGGTATATTAGGCTGGCTTATGAGTTCAGAACTATCAATGTTCTAAGATGTTAGAATTAGTCAGTACTTTTACAAAGGCAAACCCGAATAAAAAACTAAATTTTAAGAATTATATTACCCGCCTGGAAGCCAATTTTTTCCACTTCATATTATAATTAAATCAGTAATAGCCTTCTTTGTTTAAAATGCGATATGAACGTGAATATTTTCCAAAATGCTAGCTAGGGTATCCGAAAGTGCAGCTCTTTAGTCGGTCCCTATCTAAATATTGATAGTTTATATTCAGAAGTCCGCCCGTTTGAATTAGCATTTATTTACATTATATATGAATGTATTTGTGCTAAATTAACAACAAACAAAACCGTTTAAAATTATTCTATTTGGGGTCATATATATAACCCATAGGCGTTAATTAATTGATTTGTAAGGTGGAGAAAGGGTACTTCCCTGTAGATGAGGACCCTTTTAATCTCTAGTTTAGAGAGCAGTTGCGGTTTTGATTGAAAAGCTGTGCAAATAAGCCGAAAAGCAAACCACACTCGGCTCTTTCTCTATATATAAGCAAACTTTTACATATTTATAATCATGGCTTCAAAGCAAACACAAACATCTGGTTTGCGGGGAAATCACCTCTTATCAGTGTTACTATGAGCATGTTCTACAGAGGTCGGTCGATATGATTTCAGTACAACCAGTTCCTATTTGCAAGCACATAAGTCATTTCTATATTATAAATAGTACATTAGAAAAGGTCTTGATTCCAATTATTTGCTTGGCCATATGTCATATTAAAAGCGTTTGTCAGCGATTTAATAACAAAGCTCAATCAATTATAAATATACTTATCAAAGTACAGTCAAACTCATAATTAATTATTCGTCTATTGAAAATAACGAATTTGCCAGTTTGTTCGGATATTTCTGCGTATTTCTGCATTGGCAATCTCAACGTAAATTACACGATTGATTTCCAGCAAGAGATTTCAAAGAATAACATAATTATGCCACTAGAACATATCTTATCACGGAACTCTGCCACATCTTCCAATCTCAAATTAGATCTTCACATCACAACACAATTTAAGGCAATGAAAAACCATTTAATGATGTATTTATTCCAGCATACCAATTCTTCAAAACAAAAGCTGAGGTACAAACTTAAAAGCCTTACGAACTATGCTCTCTACAATATATTTATGTTCAAGTTTTTAAATAACGCATAAATCAACGATATTTTTCGATGCTCGATACCATGAGGTAATTTACTCCGATTTTAGTTGTATGTTAGGATAAGTTTTTTCTTTTGTTTTTTTTCAAAAATACAAGTCTTCGGGCGAGTGGTTAAGGTAGCTTTCGTTTAAATGTGGATGTGTACATGTTCCAGCAGTTGGGCGCGATCATAAAAGATGGCCGAGCACATTTCGCACTCGAAGCTGCGGGATTTGCGCTCCGATTTACCAGCAGCCGCCGCCTTGGCCGCCGCATCCGCGGCATCTGCTGCGGACACGACCTCCGAGATGGAAAAGAATCCGCCCCCCAAATCGACATTGCTGGCCAGCTGGCGCTGGTTAACGTTGTAGGAATCCACACCGTAATTAAGGTACGAGGAAGAGCTGCTGCTGCTGCTGACCTTGGTGGCAGTATTTCCCTTTTTTGCAGCTACAGCCGGGGCTGGTGACGACTTGCTGGCCACTCCTGCTGCAGATCTCTTGCTCCCTGCCCGTGCACCGTTGGCAGTGATCTGTCGCAGATGTCTGGAAGTTCTGGCAGAGGAAGAGGACGAAGGAGTGCTCCCGCCATGCGCCGTGACTCTTTGCTGGCTCTCCACCATCTCCCGTAAATCCGGAGACGTTGGCTCGATCTTGATCAGATTTTGCTCTTCCTCGGGCAAAAACTGTGGCGTGGTCGAGGATTCGCTGGTGAAGCGCAGACGGGAATTCCTCTCGTGCTTCAGCGGCGAGCGCAAAATCTCCTCCAGATCGTTGACAATGCTCGGATTGAATTTCTCGTACGTCTTCTCCCTGAGCAAACCAGCGTCTATCAGTAGATTATCATCGTACATCAGCTGGACCCGCTGCTGTTGCTCCTGCTCTTGTTTAATATGCAAGGGACTGGAGCTGATCTGATTCGGAGGATGGGTGGCTGGAGAAATGATCTCATAGTCATCCACCATGTTTGAGGCACTGCTGCGGGACTTGTCCAGGCCCAATTTGCTGGTCTCCGTGCGACTGATGTAGGTCTTGGTGCGCGACTTTTTGGCCGCACTGCTGGAGGAGTCACCGCCAGCAGCCCTTGGCACCTTGGCCTTCTCTGTGTGAATCATTCGGGGCCGCGAGTTGCTGGCCGGTGGTGCCTTGCTGACAGTCTTGTTGTTGGTGGCTGCCTTCTTCCGGCTGCGACTGCTGGAAGTGGAAGTGGAGGCGGAGGATGTGGAAACAGATGTCGCAGTTGCGTCTGAAGGCTTTGCCTGCAGTTTTGCCTGCTGCTGCTTGGCCCCGCCTCTTGTGTTGGGCACGCTTGAAGACACAGCGGAGGTAGCGGGCTGCAGATGAGTATCATTGACCACCACCAGCGAATCGATCTGAAACAGAGCCACTTGGCTGTCGTGCAGAAACTTCTCCTCCCAGATGCGATCCGATTGCTGGCTGCTGGTGGAATCGTATCTCGGCTTGGCCTTGTTCTTTTCGTGGGCAGCTTTCGACGCTTTGCCATTGGCCACTGGTTTGGGATCAGCCTTCGGGGCTGCCGAACCCCTCTTTCGCTTCTCCTTTTTGGGCGACTCGGCCATGTCGAACAGATCGTCCACATTCTCCACATCAAAGTCGCAGAGGTCGATGTCACTGCCATATTCCTCGGCATCGCCCTCTAGGATTGTCTCCTCCTCTTCACCGTTGGCCTCCTTGTGCTCCGCCCGCATGTGAGCAATCTCGTGCGGCTGCAGTTTTCGTCGACGCTTGTACTTGCGCGGCCCCGTCTAAAAACACAAAAAGGTTTTTAATTTAGGAACAAAATCAATAAGGAATTCAACTTACAATGGGCTGTCGCTGTTTGGCGGTGTTCGAGTCACTGTGCTGGATGAGGTGCTGGATGAGGTCGTTGGACGAGGCCAGGTCCTCGGAGCAGACCGTGCAGTGGTACGTATTTCGCGCCACATCCAGCCCAGAATGATGGGAGCGAATGTGTTCGCGCAGCACTACCCGTTGATTAAAGGCACGTGGACAGACGGAACAAGCGTATGGCTTCTCGCCCGTGTGGATCCGCTCGTGCTTGCGCAGCGTTCCGCCATCGGCGAAGGCCTTCCAGCAGTAGCGGCAGCCATATGGACGCTCTCCGGTGTGAATGCGAACGTGGATCTGCTGGGAGCTACGCGATCCAAAGGTTTTGCCGCACTCGTGGCAGGGAAACAGTTTGCCCGGCGAGGTGGTGCTGTGCGAGTGCCGGTGGTTGGAGAGAGTCCTTCCGTCGGGGAATTCCTCCTGGCACACCTCGCACACCACCGATTTGTCGCGATGCGAGGCCATGTGCCGCTTCAGGCGCGCCTTGTTGTGGAAGTTCTTGCCGCATTTCGAGCACGAGTGGCACTTCTCGCGCGAATGGTCCCAGGCGTGCTTAATCAGAGCCTTGCGATCGCGGCACTCCTTGCCGCACAGCACACACGAGTTGGCCTTCAGTTCACTGGGGTGGCGGGTGTGCAGGTGCCGCTTGATTGCCTGCTCCTCGTAAAAGCTAATTCCACAAAGGACGCATCTGAAAAGGGGAAATAGTTTTAGAAATTCCTTAAAATGATAATTAACTGCACTCACTTGAAGGGCGGGAATCGAGCGTGAATTTCAGCATGGGCGAGCATCTCCAAAGCGCTGGGAAAGGACTTTCCGCATGTGTTGCAGGAGTGACCCGCAGAATCTTTGGCAAGCTCCACATCACCGCCAGCAGTGACATCGGAATTACTTTCTGCGGCCGCCTGATCGGTTTGCTTGTAGTGCAGTTTGGCATGGCGTCGCAAAAGATCCTGGCGATGGAAAGAGATCCCGCACTCGTTGCAATAGAATTCGCCATACAGCTGCTCCTCGGGCTCCGATTCACTGGCGCTATCCTCTGCCGAGGCGGGATCGTACTCCGAGTTGCTCTCCTCGAACTGATGCGTCTTCTGGTGCTCCTGCAGGCTGTTGTTGTCCCAGAACATCTCCTGGCACTGGTTGCACTCGAACGGCGAGTCCACGCGGTGGTTCTGGGGAGGAATAAAGCGAATAATTAGTGGATGATTTTGGCCATAAACTGGTTTAGCAAGTTTCCACTACCTTCGTGTGCGAGACGAGTGCCTTTTCCCGCGCAAAGGCCAGGCCGCACTGCTGGCAAACAAAGGGTTTGCTCTCGTCCAGCACCGGAAAGTTTGGCTGAGGAGGAGGAGGAGGAGGCGGGTCAACGGCAATTGCCTGCGACGTGGTGACGACCATAGGCTGAGTCGGCTCAGGGTCCATGTACTGCCTCAACTCGCTGCCCGCCGGCTTGTCGGAAATCACGATGAACTGGCTGCTCTCCTCCTTGGGCTTCAGCCGGCTGATTCGGCCGCGTGCCGGAGCTGCTGGAGCAGTCGCCGTCGCCGGGTAGCTGGCCACCAGCTGAACCTCGCTCTCATCCACAATCTGATGATGCTGCTCCTGTTCCTGCTGCTCCTGCTGCTGCTGCTGGTAGAGCGGCCAGTCATGCTCGTAGTAGTGATCATCCAACTGCCGCTGCGTCTGCTGCTCAAACTTGATGGCGGAAGAGGAATCCACGGCGGCGGCGGCGGCTGCTGCTGCCTCGGCATCGGCTGCATCCTGGGCCTCTGCGTGGGCCTTGAAGTGACTGATAAGCTCCGCCCGCCGAGAGAAGCGCGCTCCGCACAGCTTGCAGAGATGCGGTCGATCATTCTGGTGGGCCAGCATGTGGTTATTCAACGTGGCCTTCTTCCGAAAGCGCCGACTGCAGAAGTCGCAGGGATATGGCCTGAGGGCGGTGTACTCATCCTGCTCCATGTCCAGCAGCTCCTGGGAGCTACTAATCCCGGCTATCTGCTCCGCGGCGATTTCCACACTGCAAAAGGAGGGGTATCAAATCAAGGAAACCTTTGGGGAGACTAAACGAGGCACAAACTCACCGCTCGGCACCTTGGTGCTGCACCCAGTCGTCCGTGATGACCTCCTCGGTGACCACCTGCGCGTCATCGTCGAAGGATTCCGCATAGGCCACCGTGGTGCCATCGGCGGTCACCAGGACCGTTCCGCCGGCCTCGTTGGCCGCCATTATCTCGCTCAGCTGGCCGTCGCGCGCCATGAAGATCAGATTCTCGGCCGCCATATGGTCCAGATCCTCGCCCGTCGCCCCCGCTCCGCCGTCCGACTCCAGGATGTCCACCTCGGAGGAGTCGCCCGCGGAGACGTGGTGCTGTATCCACTGGATGCCGCCATATCGCTGGTTGTTCATCACTCGCTAGCCCTGCAAAAAATGCAGTTTTCTCAGTCCGCGGCACACATAAACAAATGGGTTGCACGAAAATATCGGGAGCGAGCAACAATTGGTGGCACATGTGCTCAGAAAGACCGAAGACGGTGGGAGAGGGAGAGAGCGACTACGGCGTTGCCAGATGATAAGTTGAGGTGCATTAAAGCGTCATGTTTAAAGAAAAACCAACTAGCTAGTCAAGCAAAATAATACTCCAAATTAAAACCATTGATTGTGTTGCTAAACAAACATTTTTGTTGCTTTTTCTTGCCAATTTAAGGTATTGTTTTTTAAATTCTAAGAAGTGGCAGCGCCCTAACAGATTCCAACAGAGATGATCGAAGCGTCATTGTCTACATTTAGCTTTTTTTTTTTTAAACATTTTCACTCAAGTTATAAAAATCGCATCTACTTCTTCTAATAATTACAGCTTGCAATAATTGTTTCATGTACACACGAAAAATACAAAAATTAAACAAATATTTTTTAAAATATTATCAATTTCTTGTAACTTGGAGGATGTAACTTTCAATTTATAAGAGGAAATCATTAAATCATCTTAATTTTTTATCATTTTTACCTGAAAATCATTTAATTTATTTTGTTCTAATTGATCTAGCTTTTTCTGGCTTTAAAACTGCCCACCACTGACTTCCAACCTCAGCGCACACTAGTCATCTCGCTCGCACTCACGGCACTCGCCCATCCTACGGGGTTCTTCGTGTTCAAGCTTTTTTACTTGCAAAATATTCCAACTTATAAACACCAATTTGGACCATAAATGAGGTTAAGTCGGTGTTTTTATTTATATTCCAGACCGCAAGCTCGGCGTAAACGTAAACAAAATGCTGGTCAGTTGAATTTGGTCTAAAATAGCGACAGACGGCAGCCGCCTTTGCGGTCAGGCGATTACATCACACATCACACGCCCGAAATTCTTGCACAGACACTTTGGATTATTTTATTTTCATTTTTCGTCGAGGTTGTCGGTGTCATTTTGAGGTTAAATAGGTCTGTGGACCACCGAGCGTTGGTTATGCGTTTTTTTACCTTAAATCCAATCCTTATGCCGTTCGCATTCTTCGTTTAAATGTTTTTTAAATGCGGCGAAAAGTTTTCTCGCAAAATGCCCACGAACGACCGGAGAAAGAGGAATTGCCATTGCGTCGCCCCGTTCTTGTTCTTCTTTCCACTGCTATTCGCACTTGCTTTCGTGGTTGCCACCTGCTGCGCGACGGTGCTGCCACATCGCTTAAAATAGTTCACTGTTAACGGCAAACGTGCAGTGAGAATATGTATGTATGTAAAACATATTACATGTATTATAGGGCTTTCAAAAATAAAATATTATTTAGAAATTAAATCTTTTATGTTCATTTTCTTTCATAGTAAATTATTGACAAAACCAATTATTAACTATATTTTTATATATACATTTTGGATTCACTGCCTGATTTAAATAAATAAATGCCAATATTAATTATAATAATAATACATTTTTTACTAAAACTATAAATTTAATAATAATATAAATAAAAAATATGATTATTTTAAGCTTTTTTATATCAGTTGTTAAGTTACATTGTTGAACAAGTTTAACTTTTTATTAGCTAAATATTTTTTTTTAGAATATATTAAGTCGGCTTACCAACCATTTTTGCCAAATAAATAAATTGCTATTTGTTTGCTGATTATATAAAAAATGAATTAAACGAAGAATCACAAAATGGTTGTGCGTAATGAAATATTACTTCTTGTTATTGGAGTTCAAATTTTGTTTTTACTGCGACATCTGTTAGGGTTAATATCAACAATTGCGATCCCCGTTAAGTAAACAATCTTCAATGAGTTAGTCAACAATTTGATCAGAGTAGAGTCTATTGCCAATTTTCGCACTCGCCAAAAATTTAAACAACTGATAAAACAAACTGAACTTCCGTTGGGCCTAAAATTCATATAAATAAGCCGAGCGATAGTGAAAGCCCAATATTGCAAATTGGGAAACTAGAAGAGCAATTTAACTGATAATTAACTATGTTGGCATCCAAATATCTAATCCTGATCGCAGCGATTTTCTGCTTTTTGAGTGGAGCTTTGGCTGTCACCTGCACGGAGGATCCCTCGGATACCAGTTGCGTCGATTGCACCACAGACACGACCAACGATGAATGCACCACGACTACAACAACAACCACGGTGGCTCCAATTTCGTCCACATCCACAACAACAACAGCAGCACCCACAATAGCTGCCACAACGAAGAAAACAGTAAACAGGAAGAAAGTCACTATCAAAAACATGAAGTTCACAGTTAAAAGGAAAATTAAGGTGTTCAAAAAATCAGGATAAATACATTAAGGGATGAAATAAATAAAACTCTTATAAACTCAAATTTGTCTACAATTAAAATATGAAATTGGGTTTTCTAATGGTAAATGATACCGGGTAAATCATTGCATACTTATCGGCGAATTGTTTGCTGAACCAAATAAAAGGATCAGCTTAGAAATAAAGTTTGTTTTAAATCAAAGGCTCATGTTTATACAAGCCTTAAAGTTCTTAAGGTGTTATTAATACAAATAATTGAAGTGCGATACCTAATCATCATCCCAAATCCAGAAAATCAGGTGATCAGGGAAATTCTGGTGGCGACCGCCTTTCTACCCAAACTACCACTAGTGACCTATTCTACAAATTAGAATAAAAACGTAATACACGATAATAAGTAAATCTGCCGCACCTTTATGTGAGTGATCTGCAAACTTTTTCTATATATTCATTGAGAGAAATAACACCAAGAAAATGTCACAACCGAAGACTGTAGAATTCTATAAAGCCCGTAGTAGCGCAGCGTTCAATACTAGAATATCCCGCATAACACTTGCGGAACCGTGGATGATCTTCCTCATACAAAGAGACTTGTTTACTGATTTTGGTCATTACAATGTAATCTACTAGCCATAGCAAGTTCAGCTGTTTAACGAATCCAAATAGATTTGATGTTTATTAGTTCAAAATGCAAAACAAAATTCTCACTCGAAAAATATTACCTAGAAATTAAATTCTTTTTCTTAAAAAACGTATATAATTGTATATTTTTTAAAATCTTGTCATTTGTTGATTTATTTCTTAAAACCAACTTTTACTTTTAACTCGCGTAAAGAAATTGCTGAAGAAGTTGCGGACTCTGCTGATTCGGGATCTTCTGGTGGTGGCCGTAGTGAGCGGAGCTGCAGTTGTGGTTGCAGTCCAAAGTTTCTGCAAGCACTCGATATGGGTGGGATACACTCTACAGTCAATGCAACCGGCTTGCGTGGGGGCTACATCACAGGTCACAGCCGCAACGTCATCCAGGAAATAGTACAGGGCCAGAAATAGCAAGATGTACCTTGTAGACACCATTTTGGACATTCACTCTGAGGCGACTAAAAAAATGTGACTAAATCATAGTCTTATAAGTCAAAGAAATGTGGTTGGAGCCGAGACAATTCAAAGATCAAGATTTGCTCAGGTGTTTAGCGGACAGAACTAACAGTTAAAATTGAGTAGAGAATTAAACAATATATTTGTTTACTCTTTAAATTACGGGTATAATTACTCATACGCCATGTTGGTTTCTGTAGGGAAAATTAAGAAGGAAAATGTTTATTATAAAGGTAAATAAAATATTATAGTTGTACATGTATAGTGTGCCATTCTTTTAAATAATGACAAATTTTACCTATCTAGTTTAAACCGAAATTTTCTTTAATATACTTCTTTTTAAATTTTCCTTGATACAACTTTTAGTAATATTTACAAATCCCGATCCAACTTTTTCCCCTCAAGAGACAGTCATTGCTCTCTTTTATTTCGTCTCTCATTCTCTTTTCCTTCAATTCAAAGAGCACTAATGTACATACACATATGCAAACGAGCGCCAAAGCGCGCCAAACTTTTTCCACCCCCTCCACAAATGTGTTGTTGTTGTTGCTTTCCGATTGCTCTGCTTTTATTTTTATTGCTCTGCGATCCAAAGCGATCCGCTCGGCTTCTCTTTAGTCCGCTGGGGCAGAAAAACCGAAAAGCAAACAGGCAGCCAACGAGCGGCGGCTATTTAATTTTCGTTTTGGTTTTGGCGTGGATCGGATCGGTTGGCCATAGCCTCCCCGAATATACACACATCTGTATATGCATATATTTATACGCCGGATTTCGGACGGTACGAGTGCAGCGGAAAAACTGAACTGAAAACTGAAAAAATCGAGGAAAGTGCTCGTGACTGGAATTCCGCATTTGTTTACCATTGTGTGTTTTTGTGTTTCTGTTTCTGTTTGTGTATTGTGTGCTTTGGAGAAAGGAAAACAATCGAGATTGGATCAACAAGATTGGTGCGCCACCTAGCGGTCATATTGCGTGAGTATTGTGTGGGGAAAACAATTTTTATTTTTATTTAACAATAATGATAACAAAAATGGCATTGCAAAAATCCACAAAACGTACAAGACGAAAGTAACCGCCGTTCTTTTGACAGGCGGCGACGACATAAAATGTCAAACTGTCGATCAACATCAAGGCGAAATATGCAAGCTGCGTGTCTTAAATGCGAAAGAGGGCTTCATAATGCTACATGCTAAATGCTGTTGCAAATGGTTGCCATTTATGCAATCTGCGAAATCCCCTCCAGTCCCATTCCCATTTCCATTCCCGACCCCTTTTAATCTCGCTGCTGATCTTCGCGCTACGCGTTTTGCATGCCTGCTCTTCTCTGGAATGCGTTTAATTCGAATTTGAATTTCATCGCTTGTGCGATATGCACTGGAAAAAAACGCAGACTTTTTAAATGTCTTGCCAATTTTTAAAGCATTACATAGGTGCCAAATGTTCTGGTTAAATGCTTATTATCACAAGGTAAACATGTTATTCCTTGCAATTTAAAAAAATTATATTTTTTTAAAAAAGTTTCAAATTTTTTCATACAATTTTAACACGAAATGTTGAAAATAAATATAAGGAAGAAAAACAATTATTTGGTCACGGCTCGAAAATTATGTAGAAAAAAATTGAATAAAAACAGTTTTAAATTGTATTGCTTTTAATATGATATATTATTTTGTCTAATTTGTTGTTACTCTTTAAATATTTTCTCTCTGTGTCTGCTTATTCTTCTCGAGGCTGCTGGTGTTTTGCTTTCGCTTGTTTTTACAACGCAAAACACTTGTCCGCCTGAATCCCAGTCGTTGGGCAGAAATCAAAGCTCGCAACTTTAATTAATATTCCACACACTGCCCCACACAAGTACATACACACTTAAAACAAACACACACATACTGAAAAATGCTGTTTTTGAGCTGGCCAGTAATTGTGGATGCATAGATTTATTTTATTGCATTTCACTGCTTTTATTTCTTGGTCATTTTGTGTTTTGGTACCGATCGCATAAGTTATTGTATCGGTGTTCGCTTGGCACACGACTCGTTCGGGAATAAAGTTTGGCTTTTTATGGAGAGCAATCCGTGAGGTAATCCGTCATATCGGTGTGAATACTGTAAAAAACGTGAATAAATTTGGGCTATTTTCGTCAGGAATTTATGCAAAATCAAATGAGATTTTTACGATTTATGTGACTTGAAAATTAAGGCATTTGAAAGTGATTATTTGAAAGTGCTTTATGATATTCGATAAAATACTTTTTCAATTTTTAATTAAAATGTGAAAATGTTACCTTACAGGGAACTTTAACAATTTATTAAATAGATTAATATTTAAACTTTACTAAAACAAGGAAGGTAAACTACCCTACCCAATCATTTACCAGCCATTAATTCCAACTATTTTCCTAGCTGAGCACCTGACTTTCTCTGTGCCAAATTCTTAGTCCTCTTTGATAAGCCCCCCTTCATTTGCATTGCTCGTTCATGCCATCTGTTTGAATTCCTCGCAAGCAAATGCCATCAATTCGACTGCTCGACAGCACCTGAAGAACCCACGAAAAACCAGACCCAGATGTTTCGAATGGGGTAATAGATAAAAATCGAGGTCTTTCCAATGCAAATGCAACAGGTTGCGAGCGATGTGACGACGACAGACTTCTGACAAATGAAAACAATTGAACTAAATTTTAATTGTTGGCCATATTCATTGTCGCTCGCGGGTCTATCAAAAATCATCAATTTAACAATCTCATCGAGGTCTTTATGCGCTTGTCAACAACTTTGTATTTATGCGCTGTAAGTGGCCAAAAAGCGAAGCTCGTAAAACGTGCGTGCCAGCGCCACTAAGTCGGTGGTTTCGACGGTTTCGGTGGTTTACTGTGTGTGCCACTGGTGGTGCTCCTGGTTTCAGTTGCCGGTGCACCCACATATCGCATACTTTTTTTTTGGCACAAATTCATACGGTCGACTGATCGCGATAAGAGGAAAACCGAATAAAATAAAAACGCCAACGACACAAATGCTAAAAATGAAGAGGGGGCGAAAAAAGCGCATTTACCATTGAGTCAAAATCTGCCAAGTGGGCCACCCCTGTTCCGAAGGTCCGATTTTCATCGAACTTTTTTACTTTTCCGGTTCACAACGAAAATATAAGAACTTCATTTGAACGGTTTTGCGAAATTTTGAGTTTTACCGGAGTTATAGGGGTCAAAACATGGCATTTTTGACACTTTTTCGAAAAAGTTGCACTCAGTCAAAAATTCATAACTTCGGAACGGTAAGAGATATCTTTATGATGTTTTCACTAATCGCTCAAGAATTATTATGGCTTTCCATAAAAAATTTAAAAAATTAAAAATTTTTTTCTTAAAAATAAATCAACATTTTTTTTAGTTTTTATTTTTTCAGTGTTCTTCACCAGCTATAGAGTTTAAAACCATTTGAAAATGAAGTTTGATTCATTACGAAAAAGATCAAAAAAAAAAAAGAGGGGCCCGGACAAGGTTTTTCGCAATATCGATTTGAAGAAGGGCGCACAGCGGTTTTCCATACAAAACGGCTTGCTCGTGAAAATTGGCTGGTCAACACATGCCGTTGCGCGCGTAGCGTCAGCCGACTGCAGCTGTCAATGACGCACTTTTTGTCGTTTTGTATGGGAATCCGCTGTGCGCCTTCTTCAATCGATATTGCAAAACCTTTGTCCGGGCCCTTTTTTTTTGATCTTTTCGTAATGAATCAAACTTCATTTTCAAATGGTTTTAACTCTATAGCTGGTGAAGAACACTGAAAATAAAACTAAAAAATGTTGATTTATTTTTAGAAAAAATTTTATTTTTAATTTTTATGGAGCCATAATAATTCTTGGCGATTAGTGAAACATCATAAAGTATCTCTTACCGTTCCGAGTTATTTTTGACTGGTGAATTTTCAAAGTGTCAAAATGCCATGTTTTGACCCTATACTCCGGTAAAACTCAAATTTAAACCGTTAATGGTTCTTTTTTTCGTTGTGACCAAGTAAAAGTTCGATAAATCACCTTCGGAAGTCCCCTTGGCGTTTTGACTCCATTGCGAACATGAGAAATGTCAGAGTGAAATCCATCAAAACGTCAGACAGCACACAAGATTCCTGGGAATTTTGCAAAAATACAGCACGTTTCAGAATTTTAAGGTAGGGAAAGTTTTTAATAATCATTTTTAGATAAATTAAAATATTTTAAAAATAATTAAATAACGAAATAAAAATTCTTACACATTGGTTATAGTATTCATAACAAATTTAAAGCATTTAAAATGCATATTTAAAGAAAAATAATGAATGTATCTTAAGATTTTTTTAAAATCGGTTAACAATATTAAATACCTAATCTATGATACACTATGTTTACTTAGCGCACTTTTCCATATTAGTCATATGTACGACTCATAATGTTCGAATTACCTAAGTAATTATTATTAATTTTAGCCAAATGAGTTGTTCAAAGCCAAACATGTTTTCGTGTTCAAAATGCAGTAGCTGTGTGGGTGAAATGGGAATGTTTTGTCGCTGTACAACATTGCGTATGCGTGTTTCTTGGACAGCCTTTTTGCGCTCTTTTGTCAATTTTTTCTCCCATTTCGTGTCAGCTGTTTGCTGTGCTACATTTTTCCACAGCTGTCTTTTAATTTGCTCCAATTTTATTAAATATATCCATCTGCGACTGCAATGTGAAGAATTCACTTAAAGAATTTGCTCTTTTTTTTATAAATAAACTAGCAAGAACTCTGCGATCTTTCTCTTTTTCATTTCGCATGTCTCTTTACCCGCTCTTGGCTATTTTTCACTACTCTTTAGTAGCTTTCTCCTTCTCTTTGCCAATTGAAATTTTTTTGTTTTGGTCGTCCAGCAAATTATTTTAATTGTTTACAAACGATCCTATTGTTGTTGCGCAAATAAATTGTCTTCTCTTCGACGCTGACGTATTTCTTTTGGCTGGGGCATATTTATTATAAATTTTATTGGCATTGGTTACCCGCTCGGCGGCCAGCGATTTCAATTTTTGAATAACTTAATTTTTTCTGTTTCTTTATTGGCCGTTTGACAAATTCGAAAAGCGAAAAGCGCGCTGCGAACGCTTCAATTGATTTATTCGATTGTATTCCGTATCGTGTGGCGCTCGATTGCAAAACTCTTGACCGACGCGGCGCAAACGATCTTGTAAATTGCTCGCTCGTCAATCATCAATCTTCTGGGTTGCCGCGTTTTTCTCCGTGTGTAAGTGCAGTTTCTGAAGCGAATCATACGTGACGAATAAAAAAATAAATGTGATAAACTATTATTATAAACTATTATATATAACAAAACATTAGGCTTGACTTTTAAGGAACTGACCACCCAAGGCAATGAGTTATTTCATTTTGTTTGACTTATATTGGTTTCTACGTTATCTTGAAGAAAGTTATTAAAATTTTATAATTACAGAGGGATTACAGAACTTATAAAAAAATTTGGGTACATCAAAAAAAGTTTTAAAATTTGAATGAATTACAAGTTCATTAAATAAATTAAATTCTGCACATCCCTATATAGGGCATATTAAACTTTCTCTGGACTGATTCATTGCTAGTATTTATAGATCCGATTTCCTATTAAAAGAAACCTGCAGCCTGATTTTGCTGGCAAAGATTCTTGGGAATTTGTTTACTTCCACCCAAGTGAGATTAATTAACCACTAAATGGGAACAATAGAAATTTCACATGAATCCGCAGACAGGTGCCAATGGCAGTGGGAAAAAGGGGGAGTGGATTTAATGAGGAATCTTGGCAGTTCAATCCCCCGGGACAACTGTCTCCGCGGATGGCCGTGCTCCACTTGATCTTGGGTTTCTTTTTTTGGGATGCCTGCTGATGGATGTCGCCACGGGCACGGGCACATTAATCCCGCTTCATGCTCGGACTGATGTCGATTTTGCTGCTGTAGTGGCTGGATATTGCTGATGTTGCTGCTGCTGCTGCTGGCAACGTCGCATTTACCTAAATTGGAATATCCGGTAAAACGTAATGAAAATCGTAGCAATCAAGCCGAAAACACACACACACGTATGTACAGTGTACACTCGGGGGCATTCAAAAGGGGGGCGGTTGAGGGGGCAGCTCTCTCACATTGATATGCAAATGAATGTCACCATCTTAAATGAAATAATCGTCTTAAACGAAGGCAGAACAGCAGCTGCCCCGGCCAGAGGCCCAATCCCATCCCATCGCATCCCCCGATTCCGATCCCAGCGATATGCTTTAATTGCTCTCCTCAGTTTTCTGCGAACAGAAAGAAAAAGAGAAAATCGTGGCCTTTTACGAGCTTTTTAATGACTTATTTACTTAATAATTCCATCTTTAATGGATTGTAAAAAGTATCTAATATATACCCCACAATTTTCAATGTCATCTATCAATCCCTATTTTGTACTATACTTAGATATTTGTGAGTAAACAACTCTTGAAGAACAGAGAAAACTTTAAACTATTTTCTGACTTGTTGAACGTTTCTAACAAGTCTAATTGGGTTACATTGTTGTAAACAATATAATTCTGTTTATATATCGTGCTTTCTGGCGTTGTGTTTTTGATTTTTGATAAAATAATATGAAATTTTCGGGAAAGAAAACAGTTGCTATACACAGCTTCAAAAAAAACCAGAAATCATCTTTGACAATACAGGTATTCGCATTAGGGTAAATCTCTGTTCATATTGAAATAGTCGACAGCCCTCATCAGTCAAATTTTGCCACTTTTAATTTTCTTAAAAAAATAAGAAAATATTTATATAAACTTCACAAACACAAGACGGCTAGCATATAAATTAATATAGACTATAGACAAATCAACGCATTTCTGTTTATGCAACGGGCAGACAAATATGAGTTTTGTTCGGAAGAAATCAAAAGAAACCACAAGAAATTCTTTAATACATTTGCCTGGCCGCAAAATCAAAAGTTTTATCAAGGTTTCGACACAAATTCGATTCGAATGTGTATATAGAAGAGAGGCCCCAACTCGAGACGAGTAAAATGGTGGAGCGTTGATGTATTGATGCCAACGATTGCGAAGTTCATTAAAGGGGCTGGGGACTTTCTGGGGGCGGGGAAGAGTTTCTCGCACCAAATCAGAATTGAAATCAATATGCGGCACGAATGTGAATTGACTTATAAATAAGAAATATGCCAATAAAAATATCTGTGGCATTTCGGAACGGGCCACGAACGAGACTCCCAACTAGGGAGCCAAGTACAAATTGCCCCTGGGCATGTGTGTGCGTTTTGTGGATATTTTATGGCCCTTGTACTTAATAATTTAATGGACTAATTGCGGTTTGTGGTCACCGCGGCCTGTCACACTTTAAACTGGGCTAAAAAGGAAGTTGTAAACTGGCAGTACTCAAAGGCATAGAACAAAGCCCAAAACTCTGCGAGTGCATCTCTAAAAATAATTAATAAAAAAGTTGTGGGGAGGTGCATTTCCGGGCGTGATTTTCGGGGGGGAAATCAGAATAGTAGCTGCTTCCGTTGGGAAATTTTCTATAGAGTTTACTTCTCGAACCGTTAGGCATAAGCACACTCTGTACTTTAGTTTAAATTCCTCCCTTCCCACCCATATTTATGGTTTCTGCTGCTTTTCGTGCTTTGCCATGCGCATATTTAATTAAATAAATTTGTTTAATATTAATTGTTGTGCTGCCCTATCTATTTTCTATGGTCCGCAGGTCTCAATCCTATAAATGTGTCCAAAACTTTGACGTATCCGCCGGAAGCGCCTTAACTGGCCATAACAAGTGCAAAGCCCAACAGGTGGAGAGGCTACCCAAATCGAAGCGCTTTGGGAGTGGAAAATAAACAGAAACTCACTTCTACAGCCCACTGAAGACTTTTCCAGCGATTATTATAAGGAAGGAAGCGCAATGTCTGTGGGTGAGTACAGGAATAATTGGAAGCTCGTATAAAATGTCAACGAGAATTTATGATCTGGGAATTGTGGGATTGTATGGAAATGGATTTTCATATTGTATGGAAACCATAAAAATATTGATTACTCTAAGGAATATATTTTTAAATTATTAATCTATTTTTCTTTTAACATAAATATAAGAAAAATTCAACATTTCATATGCTATTTATTTAAAAAGGGTTTTATCTTAACCCTTTACTAGGAACCAAGTGAAAATTCCCATAAATACTTACAAACTAAATGGAGTTGTACATTGGTACCTTCTCCCTTAAAAACCCTCTTAATAGCGAAGCATGTCCAGAACACGACATAAACATGACAAACTCGTTCACGCCCCGAGCTCACTTGACACCAAATCAAGCCGAGCTATTCGGTTTAGTCGGAGGAGTTTTCCACTCCTCCTCCGTGGAATTCCTAATGATCATGATCGGCCCACGAAACTACGGGGCTACTGTGAAAGTGGACTGAATGAGATGCATTTCAGGGCACACACAAACACGACGCATTGGCAATTTCCCAGAACGCCAACGCATTTATCTTTCGAATGCGAACGATTAGTCCGGGGGCCAGCGAACTGGAGCAATCCACTTAAGGTTGTCCCCAAGCGGAGACGAAACCCAAACAAACAACCGGGCGGGGCCAAGATCGTGTTCTGGGGTTAGTCTTCGAGTCTTCTAGTCTTGGAGGCCCACCTAAAATCGGCAAAGTGCGATATTTTCCCAGGGAAAATACTGGCTAAGTGTATCTATTAGATATCCGGATCGAGGGTGTCGCAGGTCATCCATCAATTTGTGTGCCGAGCAGTCATAATGGAGTTGGAACTGAATAACAAATCAAATGTCGGGCAGCCATCTAATTAGTCAGATATTTGTGCCCCGAGTCTGTGTTTATGTATCTGCAACTCACCCTCCTCCTCCCAATGGCATTTCTTTCCTTTTTTGTTATTTTTATTTATGTCTGTTGACTAGAACAAATAATCGGGCAGCTGATATGGGAAATGGCGCAATTAAAATACAAAAACACAAACTCCCCGAGATTCAAAAACAGAGAGAGAGAAAAAGTATGAAGGGTCTTGGTCCGCTGCCCGCATCTATAAAGCATTCTTATAAATAGTTTTTGTCGCCGCTGTCTATGTAAATCATTCATCAAATCTGCATTGAATTTCGTCCATTCATTCAGCTTACTTGCGCTTTTTAATTGCACTCATTGAGAATGGAGTACTTACTGGCTGTTTACATTCTCTGTAGGGTGATTTTATGATCATTCATTCAAATTCCTTTCATTCAGTATTGGCAGGCTTAGGGTGACTCAAAAATGCTCTTGATTTGACAAGTTCATTGACTGTATTTTTTAGATTTCTCGTGTATTAAGATTAAAAAATATGGTATCCTATCTACATACGTTTTTATGTTACATATAAAGCAGTTAGATTTATGATAAACTTAATGGCGGATCATCATAAATTAAAAAGCTATTACTTTAAGATCAAAGCGCGCAAAAATCACAAATTATAGACTACTTATAAAGATTTTAAAATATAATTTTCGGTCATTTTGCTCTCATAACTGTATATGTACCCCATAGACAGATCATTTTTCACAGACTAACAACCCATTCGCATTTTATTTTCCGACGTCACTACCCTTGACGCAAATAATTGAAAATCCATACGCAAATCAATTATTTTTTTCATTATTTTACAATAATATTGAGTCACGCGATCGAATTGATGATCCATACCTTGTTCTGTTGTAAAGCAGGCACACCTAAAATACCAATTATATTTTGCGTAAATATTTACGCAAATTAATTTTCACTTGTCTTCGGAATTGCCTTTTGTTTCGCCAACATTCCTTCCAACTTGTCTGGCAACTTGTGGCGGTCGAAGATAAAGAAATCTATTAAGTCCGTCGGCCAGACATCGGGAAAAGTGGACCAGAGACCCAATTGGTCGCTCCATGGTGTCTCTCATTGCCAGTAACGACGTCATATCATTCAATATATATATACTTATATATTGTTTACGCAAATTCTCATGTCATGTGCTTAATTGTGAACATCAGCCGTTGGCTGGGGAAATCGTTGATTATTTTATGGCTCAATTTCTTCTGCGAATAATTCGTGAGCTGGCTAACTTATGGGATTCCACTCACCAGCTGAAAATGCAGCCAGACAATCCCCTCTAAAAATACCCCAGAAGACATTAGATGTCGCCAGACATTCATCTGCTACAAATGATTCTTCATAATTGAATTACATGGCCAGAGACAAGAGCGTAAAAATTTTAATTACACACCTCATAATCATGCCGAAGAACAGGAGCGTTGAGTGCAAAGGAGCTGAACTGAGTGGGAGTTGGGTTGCTGTTGGGAATGGAACTGGGAATAGGAAAGTTGTCTAGGGCACACTCAGCTGCTGGATAGGCAGTCATAGTCCTCCTCATAGGCATAGAATGTTGATCAAGTTTCGTGGGGGAAATCCAGAGATGCATGTCGAGACTTAGTGCAAAATGCGTAGGTTTGGTTGGCCTGCGTCCCCACAAAAATATCCCTAATTCCAAACAGAACAATGCTAATTTATGTCGACAACTTTAAGGAAGTGCTGAGTTTTGCTAGGAGAAGAATCTATCTACATAAAGGGAAATTTTTTTTTGATCACCAGTTCTTAGATATACAAATTTTGTTAAAGGTAACATTTTCTAAGAATTTTCGTTTTACTATCCAATTGAAAGTAAATTTAACTAACTTTTAGAAATATGCCACTCTATTCTAATTTTTCTTAACGAAACGTTTGCAGGAGAGTGTCGTAGTTCTCTTGAAGATCTCCGATTACAAGTGCAGTCATAGCTAAATAAATCAAAATTTGACTTTCCTTGGGTCTGCCCAAAAAAAGAAGAAAAAACGATTCTAAGTGCAAAGCGTTACAAGATCAACAACATCATTATAAACGTCATCGGAGACACTCCGGAAAAATTTCAAGAACTGAAACTAGGGGATCGGTGATAGGAGAGTGCAATGCGATGGCGTAATTAATGCACCACTGATCCTCTGGGGTATCCCAATTGACATTTAACATCAACCTGTGGCTAGCTCCACTCCAACCACAATGGACCCCATAAAGTTGTGTAATCTCCCAGAGATGCGTTCACCCCGACTTGGATGCCTTGGAGCAACTGCGCAGAAAGATTCCCTGAATAAATCGCTTCCTTCTCCGCCTGTAAGCGAAGTAGGTAAAAAACTAAAAAGACACGCGCTCCGCTGGGGAACAGGGGATGCAAATGGTACGCGGACTTGGCACGGGGATGTTGCACAGAGAAAATATAAAATATCATTATTGTAGCAAAGTCAGAAAAGAAACTATTTGTATTCAATTGGAAGTTTAAGCGGCGGTTTTAGTTTTTTATGTATGTTTCTACTCTAATTTTTTTAATACTTCAATACATATCAGGAACATTTAATATGATTTAAATTCGACTTTAATTCTTATTGACCAAATAGGAATTTAAATAATTTTGCCAACTAATTTTCCGGTTTTTTATGCATTTTGTACTCAAGAGTTGCCAAATTCGCTGATATTTATTTACTTTGTGGGAATCTACAAATAATAATAATCACAAGCTTTGATAACTTTTATTTTTGGTCTCTGCAGAAATATATGTTTTTAATGAAATTTTTTTCTTTTGGAAAAGAATTTTAAAAAATGTTTTGACTTAAAAAAAGAACATTATAAGAACATTATAAGTGAAAACAATTTTTATTTTGTATATTAAAATAATTACTTTGTAATTTACATGTAAGATAAAGTTTTTTTTCTTAGTGTAGACTGTGAATTTTCCTTTTTTAGGCTCGTCGGTTTTTTGTTTTTCACGGAAGACCACGTTGTCATGTGCTCTGTGCGAGTTTCCATTAAGAAAATAATTAAACATTTGCCGTTGTCCAAAGCCCGAGATGTTCGGAGACTGACGGGTCCCGACTTTGGTATCGAATTGAAATCTGTTGAACAGATGTGGCCGCAGTTGCCGTTGTTGTTGTCGTGGATTTATGAACGAGGAGCGAAGCGCATTTTATGCATTTCCAAACACCTTTCCGTACTGGGCCCTATAAATAGCATTTGGTATTTGGCAACAATGGGTTAAAAGTCCGCCGCCCTCAACAGAATTTCGATCATGTCAACCGCAACTGGCGACAAATACAAGACACGCAGGTCATAAAACCAAGATCATAAAAGTGTTTATTTGATTTCTGATTGCATCTTCGACACCTCCAGTAGCACATCTACAACGCAGGTAGAGAAAAGTATCTTCGCAGTCCTCACCTTCCACCTTTCTCCCTGCTTTCACTTCCTGATCACACATCCCTGTCTTTTTCTGACTCTCGAGGGCCTGTGTTTTGGTAATGTCCCTTTGTCTTTGGCATTTCCGTTGTGGATTTTTCTCGAGTGGCCATTAGCATGGAGTGCACGTGCCCGATCCCCGAAACCTTTCATGGCCAACTATCGAATTTTGTTTTGGAATTTTTAATTACTAATCCTTGGGCGCATCCTTCATTTCGCAAGTTGTTTGTCCCTCGAGAAGGCGGCTTCTCAATTTTCAGGCCACTTTACTTCCGCTGGGCCGACGTCTCGCCCCTGAACCAAATCCGTGGGCGGAACTCTTCACAACTATTTTATGGACTTTTGTTATTTTTTGGTAGTTGTCTGACACGGGCTGGGGATGGGGGAAAACTAAAATAACACTTTGGGATATGAGTTTTATTGGTTTTTAAAGCAGGCGACTTGGACCGGAGCTCATTTTATGATCTCTACAAAAATACATCAAATAACGGGAAAATGTCCAAAATCTATGGTGTTAAAAGAAACGAAAATTAAATAGAATTATCTCAAAATTCCTTTGGTAAGGAATATATTTAATAGTGCCTTACTAAAAATTTTGTAAAAACTATTAAAGTAGATATTACAAATAAAG